CACTTCCTGGTACAGTGGATGCCGCCCTCAACAGCTTCCTAACCTCCTCTGGGTTTAACCCCTGAACCTCTATAGCCATCAGAAACTGATACTCCCATTCTGAGAATGTGCTTGACTTGGCTGGCCCTAACTTCTGAGCCAGAGAAGTTATTTCTGCAGGGGTTAAGGCTATTTCCTGCATGGTTACCCCTGTTACTGGTTCAGAGCTCCCTCCCTGAGCCAGGGGGCCATGCTGGAAAGTTAACCATTGCATAGCTGCCACCAGGGCTGGCCGAGCTCCTGGCCCATCTGGCCAGGGTCAGGGTCATACTATATGCCCCCATCCCAGTCTCCTGCGTCATATCGGAGTGGCGTCTTTGTCCCCGATCCCAGTGGTCCTGCTGCTCTCCCGCCTAGATGAGTCCCCTGCTCTAACACCAGTCCCCGCAAACACTCCACCTGGACCTCCAACTCCTTAGGCCATATCTACACTATGAAAGTATTCTGATTTTACAGAAGTCAATTTTTGGGAACAGATTGTAGAAAGTTGAGTGCATGTGTCCACACTAATTCGGTGGTGTGCAACCACAGTACCATGGCAAACGTTGACATTCCGAGCGGTGCACTGTGGGTAGCTATCCCACAGTTCCCGCAGTCCCCACTGCCCACTGGAATTCTGGGCTGAGCTCCCAATGCCTGATGGGGCCAAAAATTTGTTGTGGGTGGTTATGGGTAAATGTTGTCAATCAACCTTCCCTCCCTCCGTGAAAACAATGGCAGATAATCATTTCACGCGGTTTTCCCTGGATTGCCTGAGCAGACGCCATAGCACGGCAAGCATGGAGCCTGTTCAGCTCACCGCAGCAGTTATGACCATTGTAAACACCTCGTGCATTATTGTGCAGTTTATGCAGAACCAGCACCTGAAAAACTATGCAAGGAGGTGATGGCAGCGTGGTCATGAGGACATGAACACAGATTTCTCTAAAACCGTGGTCTCCAGCAATTTGGAGATCATGGTGTTACTGGGGCAGGCTTATGCCATGGAATGCTGATTCTGGGCCTGGGAAACAAGTACAGTGTGGTGGGACCGCATAGTGTTGCAGGTCTGGGACAATTCCCAGTGGCTGCGAAACTTGCATGCGTAATGGCACTTTCATGGAACTTTGTGACTTGCTTTCCCCTGCCTTGAAGTGCAAGAATACCAAGATGAGAGCAGCCCTCACAGTTCACAAGCGAGTGGCAATAGCCCTGGGAATCAATTTGGAGTGGGCAAATCTACTGTGGGGGTTGCTGTGATGCAAGTAACCAACGCAATCATTGAGCTGCTGCTATCAAAGGTAGTGACTCTGGGAAACGTGCAGATCATACTAGATGGCTTTGCTGCAATAGGATTCCCTAACTGTGGTGGGGCTATAGATGGAACGCATATCCCTATCTTGGGACCAGACCACCAGGCAGCCAGTACATAAACTGCAAGGGGTACTTTTCAATGGTGCTGCATGCACCTGTGGATCACAAGGGACATTTCACCAACATGGGATGGCCGGGAAAGGTACATGACGCTCGTGTCTTCAGAAACTCTGGTCTGTTTAAACAGCTGCAGGAAGGGATTTACTTCCCAGACCAGAAAATAACCATTGGGGATGTTGAAATGCCTATAGTTATCCTTGGGGACCCAGCCTACCCCTTAATGCCCTGGCTCACGAAGCCATACACAAGCACCCTGGACAGTAGTAAGGAGCTATTCAACTATAGGCTGAGCAAGTGCAGAATGGTGGTAGAATGTGCATTTGGATGTTTAAAGGGTCGCTGGCGCCGTTTACTGACTCACTCAGACCTCAGCGAAACCAATATTCCCATTGTTATTGCTGCTTGCTGTGTGCTCCACAATCTCTGTGAGAGTAAAGGGGAGACGTTTATGGCGGGGTGGGAGGTTGAGGCAAATTGCCTGGCCGCTGAATACGTGCAGCCAGACACCAGGGCAGTTAGAAGAGCACAGCAGGAAGCGCTGCGCATCAAAGAAGCTTTGAAAACCAGTTTCATGACTGTCCAGGCTATGGTGTGACAGTTCTGTTTGTTTCTCCTTGGTGAAAACCCACCCCCTTGGTTGACTCTAAATTTCCTGTAAGCCACCCGCCCTCCCCCCTTCGAACACAGCTTGCTTGCAAAGGAAATAAAGCCACTATCATTTAAAAAACATGTATTCTTTATTAACTGATTATAAAAATAAGGAGATAACTCACAAGGTAGCCCGGGTGGAGTGTGGGAGGAGGGTAGGAAAAGGCCACTTCAAAGCTTCTTGAATGACAGCCTTCTTTGCTTGGGCTGTACCCTGGGGTGGAGCAGTTGGGTGCCCGGAGGCCTGCCCCCCCCCCCCACGTTTTGGGCATCTGGGTGAGGCAGCTATGGAACTTGGGGAGGAGGAAGGATGGTTAAACAGGGGCTGCAGTGGCAGTCTGTGATCCTGCTATCATTCATGAACCTCCACCAGATGCCGGAGCATGTCTGTTTGATCCTGCATTAGCCCCAGAGTTGCCTCATGCCTCCTCTGATCTTCCTGCCGCCACCTCTCCTCACGTTCATCTGCTGCTTTCCTGTACTCTGCTACTGTGTTCCTCCACGCATTCTGCTGAGCTCTGTCAGTGCCGGACGACTGCATAAGCTCAGAGAACATTTCATCGCGTGTGTGTTTTTTTTCGCCGCCTTATCTGAGGTAGCCTTTGGGACGGAGGAGGGAGGCTTGAAACATTTGTGGCTGCTGGAGGAAAAAAAGGGAGTGAAGATACATTTTACAGAACAATGACTATACTCCTTCACAGTGAACAATGCTATTCACATTACATAGCACGTGTGATTTTGGTACAAGGTCGCATTTTGCATCTTATATTGAGTGCCTGTGGCTTTGGGGTTAGATCACACACTCAGTGCCGGACAACAGAATTTGGCTTGCAGGTGGCCATGGTAAGCCATAGTCTGTAGGCTTCTGCAACCTTCATAATCAGCAGCGCCCTCCTCTCCCATACCAAGCAAAGCATGTTGAGTTGGCCATTTAGTGCTGGGGTTTTCCTGTTAATGTGCAGTAGCAGAAACCAAATTACCCCCCCCCCCCCATCCAATTCTCTGGGATGATTGCTTTACTTCTTAATTAAATTCCCCTATTTCAACCAGGTTACCATGAACGATATCACTCTCCTCAGGATAACACAGAGAGATAAAGAACGGATGTTGCTTGAATGCCAGCAAACACCAGGACCATACACTGCCAGGCTTTGTCATCCAGTGATATCAGATTACTTGCTACTAGCATGGAGTGGTAAAGTGTCCTACCATGGAGGATGGAATAAGGCTGTTCTCCCCAGAAACCTTCTGCAAAGGCTTTTAGAGTACCTCCAGGAGTGCTTCATGGAGATGTCCCTGGAGGATTTCTGCTCCATCCCCAGACAGGTTAACAGACTTTTCCAGTAGCTGTACTGGCCACAAATGCATCTCAAGTCCTCAGGGCTACTTAATCATTAAAAAACGCTTGCTTTTATAACATGTATTATATTTAAAAAGGTCCACTCACCAGAGGTTCCTTCTCCGGCTTCGTTGGGTTGGGAGGGTATTTCAGTCATGGTGATAAAAAGATCCTGGCTGTCAGGGAGAATGGTGTGCTGTGTGCTCTCCTCAAGCTTGTCCTCCTCCTCATCTTCCCTGTCTGTAAAATCCTCAGGCATGGTGGAGAGTACCCCATCATCGGAGTCCACGGACAGGGGTGGGGTAGTGGTGGTGGCCCCCCCTAGAATTGCATGCAGGTCAGCGTAGAAGCAGCATGTCTGGGGCTCTGTCCCGGAGTGTTTGTTTGATTCTTTGGTTTTCTGGGATGCTTGTCTGAGCTCCTTAAGTTTCATGCAGCACTGTATTGCATCCCTGCTGTAACCTCTGTCCCTCATGGCCTCTGAGATTTTTTTGAAATGTTTTGGCATTTTGTCTTTTGGAACGTAGTTCTGATAGCACAGATTCCTCTCCCCATACAGCGATCAGATCCAATACCTCCCATTTGGTCCATGCTGGAGCTCTTTTTCGATTCTGGGACTGCATGGTCACCTGTGCTGATGAGCTCACCTGGCCAAACGGGAAATGAGATTCAAAAGTTCCCAGGGCTTTTCCTGTACACCTGGCCAGTGCATCTGAGTTCAGAGTGCTGTCCACAGCGGTCACAATGGTGCACTGTGGGATAGCTCCCGGAGGCCAATACCTTCTAATTGCGTCCACACTAACCCTAATTCGAAACAGCAATGTCGATTTCAGTGCTAATCCCCTCATTGGGAAGGAGTACGGAAATCTGTTTTAAGAGCCCTTTATGTTGAAAAAAATGGCTTTGTTGTGTGACGGGTGCAGGGTTAATTTGATTTAACGCTGCTAAATCCAACAAACTCATAGTGTAGACCAGGCCTTAGATTGTTCCCTCTCTTCTTTGGCCTGTTGAGCTCTTTCCATATCCTTTACGGTGGAGATTGCTAGCTGCCGACAACTTGCCCCTGCCGCTTGTGCCGTCCACATATCCCTTTCTGCCTTTACCTGCTCCAACTCCTGCTTCACTTGCATAGTCTCAGAATTATAATCAGCTTTAGCAGTTTGCCAAGCACAACGAATTTGCCACAGCAACCATGCCGCTGCCCGATCCCTCGTCTTTGAATCCGGATGATAAAGCTCACAATATTTCTGGTATGTATCTTCCTCATCTACCATGGTGTCCCCTGATGAAACTGCCCCTGGGACCCACGGGTCAACACCCTTGGAGTGTGCCAAAGTGGGGGGGAGAATTTTGCCACCTTCCCCTCCTTTGTGGATCTGGGGGGGCTCTTTTCCTTTCTAAACAGCAGCATCAAGTCCAAAATCAGAAAGGGGGAGCAGGCGCCGCACGCACTCTCTACTCCGTGTTGCCCCTTTCCACTAGTGTACCCTATCGGTGGCTGCCCACATTCTCCACCACTAATGTTACCTTTGTTCCCTTTAAAAAAAAAAAAGACCTAGGGTCACACTTGTATTTTTTTTTTTATTACAGTGCCACTGTTGGGTCAGACAGAAAAGGGAAGGAGCTTATTTATACACCACATTCAGATTCACCGCATTCATACCCCCATGAACCCACACATTTACACAGGCGGAGAGCTACCGGAGACAGCATGGGAAGCCAAGAAGCCGAAGCGTGGTAGATCTGGTGTGTCCGCCTGCGGTCACGGACAAGGGCTGGTGAGCAGCTCAAGGAGCAGCAGTTTGTGTGCATGGCTGCTTGCTTTTATTTTGGAACTGGGTGCTCCTGTCATGTACACTGAGTTTTTCTTCTGCAGAAGCCTTCCCAGTCCCTGTTCCTTTCATGCATCTTTTCTTTAGAGCACTCTGTGATTGCCTTCTCAAGGCAGATTATATCAGACACACCTGGCTCCTGGCTCTTTTCTCCTTGCAGTTCCTCTCTTCCCAGTCCCCCATACACTCCCTCGTTCACACCCTCTTATCTTCCACACACACACACTGCCTAGTTCACACTCTCTCTGACTGCGGGATGGGATATTACAAAGCTTGGCAGTTCATATAAGTGGTAACTTGAAAAGGTTGCAGAGCTTGCAAAGGTTACAAAACTTAAAAGGCTCGTAACTGAAGTTACAAAGTTTGCAACAAGGCTGCAGAATGTAATGATACATGTTACAGATCTTACAATCGCATTTGAGTGGAGGCTTTACAGAACAGCTTCCCTTTAAGTGAACGGGTGGGACACACAGGGATCCCACTGCTGCTCTGAGCCAGCTGCTGCAGCAGCAGCCCATCAGTGACTCAGCCAGAGAGCACTGCCAATCCCACCACGCCTGCCAGCTCCCCGTGCAGAGAGCAGCACCGGCCCCACTGTGCCATCCAGGGCCCCAGGCAGAGATCAGCAGCACCCCACCAGCTAGGGCCAAGTTCCACAGGGCCGAGTGTATACAGCCCTGCGTGCAGACACCTCATTAACCAACTGTCTCTTCTCCATCACCTTGTGCATTTGGCCATCCAATGCTCCATTCCCAGCCTGGGCCTGGGAACAGCCTTGCTGTAGGCCTGAGAATAGGCTGGTGACTGCACAACCCAAGGGTGCGTAGCCCAATGGCAGAACGTACCCCTGGGGAGGCTGCAGCCATCACACACTCATGTACACACCCTCTGTGCCCAGGGACAGTGCTGCCTAGTGATTAGTGCGGGGGGGCTGGTAGGCAGGACCCCTGAGTTCTGTTCCCTTTGCTATGGCCCAGGCTCCCCCGCTGGGTAATGCGCTCAGCAGCCCTTGGCTGGCAGGCCCTGGCAATGCAAAGTACTAGATGGGCCAGGCCAGCCCCCAAGTGTGGCGCTAGCTGAGTGACTGGAAAATGCCAGTGCCCTACGGGCTGACTGAGGGGTGCTGGCTCCCTACCAGCCTGCTCTATGCAGCCACAAGCCCCCTTGCTGGGCTCTCCCAGGGCCACCAGCGAGTTGGCGAGTGCTCTGAGCAGCATGAGTGAGGCTCCATATGGCAGAGCCCTCTGTAAGGGACACCATGGGGAAGCTCTAACTGCCCCCAGTGCAAGCCAAATGCTGTGGGCTGGCACACAGGGGGCTCTGTGATGGGGAGGAATCAGGCTGTGGAATAAGAGGCCGATGCCTCGGAGGGTCCCCTGCAGCCATGAGCCAAAGTGGTTTGTGGAGGCAAAGCCACCTAGCAGAGGGGAACCCCGTGGTTCAGCTTAGCAGACGTTTGCCTTTGGAAGAGACCTCACACCAGTCAGTTACAGCCTCAAGAGCTGGACTCTAGACCCTGCTCTGCCTATGACCTGCTGTAAGGTCCTGGCCCTGTTGAGTCACCTCGTTACACCTCCAATTCCCCTCCCACTGTGTGGGGCTGGTCCATTGAGCCTGTTAGCTCCGGGGGAAGGGACTGGGTCCCCCTGTGCAGTGACAGCACCAGAAGACTGAGTGCAGACAGGGGCTCTGGCTACGGCTCTAACACACATAATGAGCCAACAGGAGGCAAGTGGGGAGCATTTTGCTTCCCTATTTTCTCACACCCAAATCTGCACTTTGATTCAGTCAATGAAACGATTCCTTGATACAAATCCAGTGTCAGTCAACCCCCTTCCCGCTAATTATCCAATGCAGACCCCGTGGCCCAAATCCTCTCCAGGGCACCTTGGGCTGGGGAGGAGGATTGCACCTGAGGTCACTGAGTGCTCACACTGCCCCCATCAGAACACACCGACACTGAGGACACCTCTACATCACAGACGTAAGTTACAGTCACTGCAGCAATTACTGTGGGTTTTCACCTCCACACTGCTCTCCTTCTGGGGCTGGTGCGTATCCTCACTAGGAATTCTTCCACCCACTTAAAAAGGGCAGCATGGGGGGCTGCCAGCTCCTGGGCTCTCCGCTCTGTGTGCAGCTCCCCACTGCCTGGCAGCTACTTGGCTCCTGGCAGGGAGCTCTGCACCTGGAGCCTGGGTGGCAGCCAGGCTCCCAGCGGGGAGTCTGAGGGGAGCAAGGCTCTAGCTGGAGCCTCCCACCCACCCCAGGGTGACAGCCTGAGTTGTGAGCGGGGTGAAAGGTTGACAACAGGGAACTTACTAGCCTTTCTTGTCAATTTCACAGCTCCAGCAGGGACCCGTGAAATTGACAAGAATGACAGCCAACAGCCCCTGTAAGTAAGGCAGTGTCTAGTCGCCCTAGGTCTCTTGTGGAGGTGGAGTTATGTCAGTGTAGTAGGGCACTTACATAATTAGGTTGATATAAGCTGCCTTACATCAACCTACCTGTGTAGTGTAGACCGGGCCTGAGTCACTAAAACTCCCCGCTTCCACACTGGCTGGCGGGGGGACAACCAACAACACGCAGCTGTTCACCCTGGGAGTTGCTCTTTACAGGCAAGTAATGGGAGGTGGCACTGGTAGGAAAATCCAGTTGATTTCTAAGATGGGACAAGCTTCACCGCTGCAGCCGACTGGCACGCAAACGGCCATCCAAGAGCAACAAGCCTTAGCACATGACATGGTCTCACGTCAACGCCTCCCTCCCACCACTATCGCTCGCCTCCTCTTTACAGTAGATTGGTTTCAAGCAAACCAATACAAAACCAGATCAAAATCAACAAACGCAGAGAATGCCACAGGCAGGAAACAGATACATGGAAACTGGGCATCTGAGTGCTGAGAAACAGCGGGTGGTGGCAAGACATACAGCAGAGAGAGGCACCAGTTCCAGCTCTGGGGCTAACTCAAGCTGCAGTAGGCTTAGCTCCTGGCATTGGATCTCGTTATTATAGTTGGGCTCAATGCTCCAGAGACCTCTGGAGCTCTGCTTAACCCTATGCACTGTGAGCAGATCCACTGACCTCTGGGAGGCTGCACACCCTGCCTCAAATTAAGCCCAGCCATAAGCCTCTGCAGAATCAGGGGGCGTTCTTAAATAAGCAGGAGAAATTGTGACGGCACCAGGGGGTGACCATTCCAAGCACTGACTCGAAGGCAACGTTCTGCTGAGAACGGATCCTCAGCACTCACATGCCTGGGGGTGGTTTGGTTTTGTAACGAAAACAAGATCACAGCCATTTATTCAAACATTGAGCTTAAAAACATGCCGAACCTTTATTTTAACTGGTAACCTAACTTTTTTTCCAGGTCGGTTCCAGTTCAGCAGGCAGGACAAAATTAGGGTTCAGGTTCAGTTCCGGTTCCACTCCTGGGCTGGAGGGAGCCGAGCTGACAAGCTTGGGAAAATTGCCTTCCAGAAACAGACCTAACACACGCTCCTACACACAGGTAACAGCTACGGCCTGCAGGTCACGCTGTGGGCACGAAGCAAGTGCTCAGGCTCCAGGTCTGTGTTTTGCAAAAAAAGGGAGGGGCGGGGGTATTTATTGCACTGGGCAAACATGATTCAAAAGGATTGAAAAAGGGAGATCCAGTTCCTTGAACTATGAAGGGCAGAATTGCTGTGTGGAGCTTTCTTGCTGCAGATGGGGAGGGGGTTAAAACTCAAAGCACATCAGAGACACTTCCAAGAGCAAGGAAGGTAGGTTTGATGCAAAGCACAAACCAAGAGCAAATTGAAATGGAAAGGAGAGTGCTGGGGTACACAGACCCCAACCTGCTGAAGCCAGGCCTTGCACGTATGTTCTCTTTGGTTGAAATCGCACCCCACTGAAGTTTTGCCATTGACTGCAATCAGGGCAGGATTCCACTCCCAAATCCAGCTGGTGCTCTAGCTTACACTATGGAGACTTTTCAATAACGTAGGCTTTAGAATCTGATTTTATGGCAAGTCAGCCCCACATGAAGCCAATGAATCCTGTATTTGCAACAAATGCATGGGGTCACCAGGATCCTGACAATTTCTTAGCCAACAGGCGCTGACAGGTCAGAGAAAATGTCCCTAGAATCATAAATTAGGGTTGGAAGAGACCTCAGGAGGTCATCTAGTCCAACCCCCTGCTCAAAGCAGGACCAACACCAACTAAAGCATCCCAGCCAGGGCTTTGTCAAGCTCAGCCTTAAAAATCTCTAAGGATGGAGATTCCACCACCTCCCTAGGTAACCCATTCCGGTGCTTCACCACCCTCTTAGTGAAATAGTGTTTCCCAATATCCAACCTAGACCTCCCCCACTGCAACTTGAGACCATTGCTCCTTGTTCTGTCATCTGCCACCCCTGAGAACAGCCAAGCTCCATCCTCTTTGGAACCCCTCTTCAGGTAGTTGAAGGCTGCTATCAAATCCCCCCTCACTCTTCTCTTCTGCAAACTAAACAAGCCCAGTTCCCTCAGCCTCTCCTTGTAAGTCATGTGCCCCAGCCCCGATCATTTTCCTTGCCCTCCGCTGGACTCTCTCCAATTTGTCCACATCCTTTCTGCAGCGGGGGGCCCAAAACTGGATGCAATACTGCAGGTGTGGCGTCACCAGTGCCGAATAGAGGGGAATAATCACTTCCCGCGATCTGCTGGCAATGCTCCTACTAATGCAGCCCAATATGCCGTTGGCCTTCTTGGCAACAAGGGCACACTGCTCACTCGTATCCAGCTTTTCATCCACTGTAATCCCCAGGTCCTTCTATGCAGAACTGCTGCTTAGCCAGGCCAGAGATTTCCCCTACACAGTTGCAGTGACAATTTGCTGCCACTGTAGACAGCAGCCACTTCAGAGTCCCCTCTCAGCCATGTCACAGCATTGGGGGTTTAGGGACAGTGCCAAGGCAAAATGCAAAGATCTTTAGTCTGAAACCTGTAAAGCTTGCACGGGAAAGCTGCCTGTCACAGAGACACACTGCAATGTCAGACACCACACTGTAATCACATCTTTGCCCCCTGTTGTCCCACAGAATTTGGGACAGCCCCAGGGATTTTTGGGAGTGGGGTCGGAGAATAAAAAAAGCAGTTTACTCCAGCAGGGCAAGGGTTAATCACAAAAACACACATGGGTTCCTGTCCACACCAGCAATAATCAACCTGCCACTGGGAAACATTCTTTCCTGGCCTGATCCAGCTTCCACTCACGTTTTCCCATGGACTTCAAGAGGAGCAGGATGGGGCCCTTCCTGCTTAGCGGTTGTACAACTGCAGGACAGCTGGATCGCCCAGCACCTGACTGGGCAGGTGCCCACCGTTTGCTGTATCAACATAAGGACTTTGGGGTATCCAGGCCTCCCAGCCCATGGATCCCTTAGCACCAGCTCCCATTGATACTGCCATTGCAGTCAGGTTCAAGCGGGAGCAGGACTGGCCTTTGGTAGTGAGAGCTGCCGATTCACTGAATCTACTACATGTGCTCAGCACCCCCAGGGTTTGATGGGTCCAAAGCTTCCCCACTTTCCAGGCACCCGAGCCCTTGTGTGCACGCCTGGCGAGTGAATAATAAAACTGACACATGCCCCAGTGAAGAGCCAGAGCCATTCTTAGTACAGTAACATGGTGCACCACCGTAGTAACATTAGGGGGAATGGAACAGAAAAGGGGCTGGTTACAGGAAAAAAAGTTAAACCTCCCCAATGACATGACCACTCAAACGGAATCTGCACCCCACCCCTAAATATTAGTTCCTTATGTGCAATTGTGTGTGTAGCTATAGTGCAATATCTCAGCTCTGCCCTGATCATGGAGCGGTCAGACAGACGGAGCTAGTCACCAGCATGGGAATCAGACTGGGATATAGGCAAAGGAGAGAGAACCGAGACACCCCAGACATATCACCAGCTGCTCCCGCAGCCTCTTCAGCTGGCGCTTCTACACAGGGACAGCTCTGCAAGCCGGAGAGCCCGATCCTGCCCGCTGTCACTGGTCACTTCCACGGCATGCTGCAGGATCGGGCCCACGGCAGGGTGAGGGACATGCAAGCTGTGCAGGGAGCGCAATGGTGCCCGCTGTGGGGGCAGTTTGCCATTGCTAGGGAGGTACCAAGGCAAGGCTGAGTGGAGAGGGGTCCCAGGCAGGACATATTTGGATCCAGAGGTCACCCACCTCCATGGAGTGCTTTCGGGAGAGAGCAGGGAGAGGGCCCCACACTGCCCCTCTACTAGAAGCACTGGTGTCAGACCAATCTGGGCTCCTATCGGAAGCCCTGCAGCCAGGGTGTTTGGATTCACTACGCCAGGGCAGCCCATTGTAAAAAAAAACACTGAAGGAACTAAAAGCATGCAGTCTTGCATGGTAACCCCATGAACCGGTCCAGGGAATCCCACCTCCTTCTCCCAGCCCTCGGTTTGCCTCCGTCCCCTCTGCCATTTAGACTGTAAGCTCTTCAGGGCAGGGATGTGGCTATTCCTTGACCACCAAACGCCATGCCCTGTCTGGGCGCTATGTAGAGGCCAGACTCACACCAGTTACGATCAGCATGTGGATCTGAACGAGCCAGAATCTGGCTTCCCTTGGAGGGAATGGGATACTGCCTCAGCTCACGACAGAGATCAGCCGTGCCCTGTACCCCACAGGGCGCTCTGCATGGAGGTTCCACTGAAGATCACACCGTGCCGCAGGTTGGGAACCACGACACGGGGTCTTCCACCAACAGGCAGCCTTTCAGGGGGCGGAGGAGGAGGAGCTTTTTCCCCTTTCAGTGGCATGTCCCTGGCCTCCCGGGGTGGTTTTTGGTGAGCTAGCTGGCAGCATACGCAGGGCTCAGTGCTGAGCTGATGCTCGTTGCAGCAGGTGCTGTGCAAGTCCGACAGGCAAATACTGTGCCCGTTGGCACAGACAGGCCCATGCTGACCTCAGGATGGGATCTGGCGTGGCCTGGAGCCTACTGAATAGGATCACCAGGGTTCCCTTGTTCCACACTAAGTCCTTACTGGGACAGTCTACCTGCACCCCCAGAATTTACTCTGTGGGGCGTGTGCACTGGGGGAGGGGACACAGACAGATGGGAATATAACTTCACTGCCTTGGTCTGGACCATGCGTCAGGGAAGGTTCTCTCCAGCCACACCCACAGGGTCTATACTACAGCTCCAGAGCCAACCCTTCCCGGACAGCTCTGCAGCGCATCACCCACGAGTTGTGCCCACAGATCGCTCTCTAGGGTGCCCCTCTAGAACACAAGTGCTCGCTCTACGCGGGCTGCGGCCCCAGTGCTGGGCATGGCGGGTGTTTAACCCTGGAAGCCCAGAACAGTTGTTAAACGCTGGCCGTGAAGGATGTAAGTGCAGGCCATACAGTGAACTCAGAGCACCTGTGAGCGCATGCCGGCATGGCTCCTTCCCTTGTTAGCAGGCAGGATGGTCTCTGAAGGGGGCGACTGTTGTATCTGATAGCTGCTCCCTGGGCAGTGGGGGTCTCACATCCTCCCAACACAGAGCATGCCTCGTACTGACGGCTGTGCGCCAGGACAGCGTGCGATCGCTGCAGCCCAGCTCAGTATGGAACGCAGCTCTCCCCGGTGTCAAGTCAGAACAGGACAGGCTGTTAGGAGGCTTAAAGAGAGAGTGAACAGCTCCATCCCCCTTAGCAGCCACTGGCCGCCCCACCCGGGGGCGGAATGGACGGAAGATTCATTGGCAGGGCCTGGCGCATGAACAGTGGCTTCTTTCCATCTAAACACCAAGGGCTCCCCTGGAGGATAATCCCCAACAGATCCCAACGACGCAAGTGAAGTGCTGGCTCTAAGCTACGTGACAGCGTCCCCTTAGATCCCAGCAAGCCCTGACGGAATACATTTCGACATGCGTGGGTCCCAAAGCCAGGTCCTTATGCCAGTGCATTTCTGGGTGGATGAGGCACGTGCAGGGATGTGGCACACTGATGAGGGGACCCTCTGGAAAGGTGTCGGGAGAGTTCCTCCTGTTCTCAGCTACGACACAAACCTGTCTCATGCTGCTGCCAACGTGGAACGAAGCAGCTCTCCAGAAGGATGCACGGGGCCTGCTCCTGCTCCTTGTAAAGCCAGAGAGACTCTGCCTGCAACTGCAAAGAGCAGGATCAGGTGCCCACCTCTGTGCTGGTGCCCCCTTCCCCTGCATTTTGATGCCGTGTCTATGGATGGGAGTGAACGCTGAGCAGTGACGGTCTCTCACACTCAGGAGTGTGCTGCCAGCACCCCACACAGACGCGTGCAAGGATCGGTGACAAGGACACCCGCCCCCGATCATTCGATACAAGGATTCCCCCCTTCGATGGAGCAGAGCAGCCGTGGTGTAGAGATGAACCCTGGACTCCAGTGGCTCGGTAGTTCCCTTGGCTGCTCCCCCGTCGCTGAGCACCGTCCTCTCTTCGGCTGGTTTAAAGATGGGAAGGGGGGAGTAAAATTCTGAAGTTTCCCCAAAAGGCAGAAGTTGGAGACCTTCTTCACCGCCTGTGCTTTGCACACCCCCCATCCCATGCTCCTTATGACCCCTGCACTGAGGAGCAGACAGGATGCCTCCTCCCCCCACCCCAACACACCCTGGTCAAAACTTTCTGACATTTATACATTATTTAAGACACGCTGATAATATAAATTACTGTCTCTATATATACTATGTATAGGCAGCAGGTCAGTCCAGGAGGGGGGCCGGTGGGTTTCTGTTCATTTCCCTCGCTCCTCTGTGCAGTGCTGGAAGCGGGTGAAGCTCATGAAGACCTGCTCCAGGGAGATCTGGCTGACAGAATAATCCTCCACGTGGAACTTCTCTTTGGCTCTCTCCAGCGCCCCGAAGACCTGAGGGGAAGGCACAAGAGGCCGGGTGGGACTCTCTGGACTGCATTATGAGAGAGGTCAGATCAGGCATCTCTATCTACACAAGCCTCGCCTAAGTACCTGGGTGCAGGGCTGGGAGTTCACTTTGCAGGCTTGGTTCCTAACTTGCAGGGATGCCCAGGAGCCCCAGTAAGGGTGGCATGTATCCCGTGGCACAGCACCAGCTCCAGGCACCGCTGCACTCCGACAGGGGTCGCGGGAGGAGAACCTTGCTTGTGGTACCACCTGCTGGTCAAATGGCAGGAGTGGATGGGTTTCCACAGGAGCTGGGGCTGACTGTCCTGACCTGGCAGGGGGGTTGCTGGGGCTCAAGGTGGAGGGTGTTTCATGAAGAGTCTGCCTCTTTAAAGAACACGTTCCTGGGCTGGAAATAACTGGGTTGCACAGTTCACTGAAACCCAAGGCAAGCGGCTCAGGCCAGGACAATCTGCATGGCGCAGCCCGTGCAAACTGCATCCCACAGCGCTTTTGAGCTCAGCAAGCGGATCAGGAAGACAGGAGAGAGTCAGAGCGAGGGGGAAGGGGGAACAGAGGCTCTCAGATAAGATTGACAAGACAGAGAGTCAGCATGACTGAGACTGTTCCAGATGGAGAGCTGCAAAGAAGGCGGCTCTCACACCAGTAGCAGAGACATGGCCCGAAGGGCTAGGTTGGTGGCAAGTCCAAGGCAAACAGGAGCAGAGGGAAGAGAAATGGGGGCGGGGCAATGGGTGTATGCGACAGAGTCATGCTTCCAGGAGCCTTCGATGTGCTGGACCTGGGAGCTGCAACAGGCAGGTGAGAGGAGATGAAGGGGGACACAGTGCCCAGGGACGAGGGTTAGGGGAAGGGGAGACAAGTGGCAGTGAGAGCTAAGAGAGGGACGGGGGAAGCACTTCTCACCCAGGACGGTCAGCTACACTGAAGCAGAGGTTTCCATGCGCAGGACCAGCAGGGGGCATGGGCAGCAGGGCGAGTCACTCCAAGGCATTTGGGGTTGCCCCGCCCGCAGCAGAGCTCCCTCGGAGCTGCAGCGCTCAGCAACCCCCAGCCCAGCCAGGCTGGCTTGGCTGTTTCTGGGGCAATCATTTTTGCCAAAAGAAATCTGAAAGCCCCCAAAAAGGGAGACATTTTGCCCAAGCCAAGGAGGAAACATCAGTTCCAGAGACACTCAGTCAGGGCGAGCTGCCCCAGCCATGGCACCTACTGGGCTGAGAGCCAAAGGCTGTGATCACCCACAAGCTCTCAGTGCTGCCCAAGGGGGATGGTACAACCGCTGCGGGCACCCAGAGTCCAGCCGCTAACGCCCGGCCCAGCGCTGCCCAAGGAGGATGGTACAACCGCTGCGGGCACCCAGAGTCCAGCCGCTAACGCCCGGCCCAGCGCTGCCCAAGGAGGATGGTACAACCGCTGCGGGCACCCAGAGTCCAGCCGCTAACGCCCGGCCCAGCGCTGCCCAAGGGGGATGGTACAACCGCTGCGGGCACCCAGAGTCCAGCCGCTAACGCCCGGCCCAGCGCTGTCCAAGGGGGATGGTACAACCGCTGCGGGCACCCAGAGTCCAGCCGCTAACGCCCGGCCCAGCGCTGCCCAAGGGGGATGGTACAACCGCTGCAGGCACCCAGAGTCCAGCCGCTAACGCCCGGCCCAACGCTAGCAGGGCCTTTGGCCGCACCCACATACACTGGTATTTCTTTATTGTAGCAGCTTTGTCACAGCACTGAGTTGGGTGGGGGACACCACTGACTCGTTCCTAACTATTCTAGGGAGATTTGAAGCCCTTCTGAAATAGTGCCCCCTCCAGTTACCCATCTGCTCTGGGACAAAAATCAGCTTAAAAAACAACCGGTGAGAGGGAAAGCCAGAAAGATGAGCATGGAGAGTAGGGGCAGGGAGAGGAGCTGAAGCTATTTTTAAATCAGTGACTTCTGATGGCCTGGATTTCAAACAGACAGTGTCTCTTTAAACAGACACCAGTAAACGAACATCAGTGGCCTGGTGGACATGCATGTTAAAGCAAAGCCCAGCTGGAACGGATGGATAATCCCAGCTGGAACGGCAACCAAATGACCAGGGGCATCCAAGCCCCTCCATTCACTCCCTGCTTCGCTCCAGTGCCTCTTGTGTCTGCTATGGAAAGGGAGAAGCCCGGGTTGGCCTGGGACAGATGCTAGCAGCCTCTGGCCTGCCCTCACCTGTGCCCAGCTGAGGTTCTTGTTGGTCAAGTGATAATGGACCATGCCTTGGTGCTCGTGCTTCAGGACGCTCCCTGGGGGAGACAAGCAGAGGTTAGCGCTGAGTTAGGAGACTGCAGGCGACATGCACATGCAGGGGTGCAAACAGGGCGCGCTGCCGAGCCCCACCCCTAGGGCTCCCCAGCATGAACGGGGGCCACGTCCCAGTGAGGGGCTGTACCTGGAAACATCTTCTCCACAAAGGCCTTGAACACCTGCATGTCGCCCTCCTCCTCGGCCCTGGTTTTTGCCAGCAGGGTGTATCCGCTGCCGAACTTGCTCTTCAGGTGCTGGGGGCTGCCCAGGCATTTGAACTGCCCGTTCACCATGATGGCCAGCCTGGTGCACAAGGCCTCGCACTCTTCCATGCTGCAGAGAGGAGAACAGAGCCATGGAAAGGAGGCGACCCAGAAGCGACGATGCTGGAACATCCGGGGGTGTTGCTGCCTGGGACTGGGGCCAGGCACGGGAACCTGCTCTTCACCCACGTGGGAGGTGGGATGCCAGCTCCCCTGTCCCTGCCCCTGCTCCGCAGGCCAGATGCCGTGGACAGAGCTGAGTGGGTTACACTGCGAAGGACTGCGCACTGCTACCATTGCAATAGTCATTCAGCAGGTGCCACGAACACTTGCCCGTGCAATACAGCTGGGTGCTTTGGGATACAGGGAGCAAGGGCTAGTCCATTGCAGGGAACCTCACAACCAGCCAGCCCCGCTCCTTCCCCTCCACACCCCCCACTTCCTCCTCCTCCCTCTCCCCACTGGAGCCCAGGAAGGAAAGGGGCACCAGGCACCTGTGGGAGGTGATGATGATGGATTTCCCGCATTCTCGTGTCCTGGTCACGGCATCCCAGAGCAGGCGCCGGGCCACAGGGTCCATGCCAGTGGAGGGCTCATCCATGAAGATCACTGGAGGCCCGCCGATCAGGGCAACGCCAGCGCTCAGCTTCCGCTTGTTGCCACCGCTGCAAGGGAGGGACCGACAAGAGAGGCAAATTTTAAACTAGCTCTGGGAGAACTAGGCTGGGAGAGCATCGTGCACAGCTCTCTGGGATGCCGAGCTGTCTGGGCTATGCCTGGGTGGGGACAAACCTGGGGCTGCAGTCCCCAGGAGGGAAGCTGGGGCATCTCCTCGAACCATTCCCCCCCCAGCTATAAAAGGTAATAGTTCGCACAACCTCAGTGCCCTGCGGTGCATTTACCTGCACAGTCCCTTCAGGCAGGGAAAGTTTCTCCATTTGACAGATGGCAAAGCCCAGGCAGAGACAGGGAGGCTGGCCAAAACCTCTCAGCAAGCCTGTGGCAGAGTTGGGACTAGATCTTAGCTCTTCTGATTCCCAGCCCTGAGCTTTAGTCACTCGGCCAGGCTCCCGCGGGCACTCAGGTTTCCAATCCCACCCACAGAGCCATGTCTGGGCACAGAAGGCCTCCGGGTCTCCGTCTCACCTGTAGGACCTCACTAGCTTGTCCGCGTGGGGCTCCAAGAGCAGCCCTCGCAACATGTTCTCCACGCAGCTGCCGATGTAGCGCTCGGGAATCCCCCGAAGCCGGGCATACAGGCTCAGTGTCTCCCGCCCCGTCATGTGATCCAACAGGGCATCAAACTGAGGGCAGTAGCCAATCCGCTGCTGGACCTTGGAGCAAAGGCAGGCCAAAAAAAATAAGCCAAGAGCGAGGGGCTGATTTCACTGAGATCACCAGCAGGAGGAGCTTTGTTCTTGCCACAAAGACTCCTTCCAATACTAATTGTTTTACATTAATTACATCGGTGGGTAGATTCAGACCACAACAGCCCTGAATGTACTGGGTCTCCAGACAGACAGACACCCCTGTCTGAAAGGGCCTTATGACTAAAAGATCTTCTAACCAGCCTGTAGGATAATGAGTCATGAGAAGCCACAGAGCTGCTAGCTACGTAAGATGGCTAGCTAACCAGAGCACGGGTGGCTGGTGCTTGCCAATTCCTACACAAGCTTCCTGAACTGCTAGTCTGATAACACCATACTACTCTATTCAGATCCTCTGTGTGTGGCTCAATTCAGCTGGCTGCGGCTACCAGGAAAGAAAGCTACACTATGTCAGGGGTGGGGAAACTACGGCCCGTGAGCCGGATCCAGCCCGTCAGGCCCCACGCTGCTCTCAGAAGCAGCTGGCACCACGTCCCTGCAGCCTGGGGGGGGGAAGGAAGGGGCAGGCAGAGGGCTCCGTGCATTGCCCTTGCCTTCAGGCACCGCCCCCGCAGCTCCCATTGGCTAGGAACAGGGAACCGCAGCCAATGGGAGCTTCGGGGGAGGTACTGCAAGAGCAGCACATGGAGCCCTGTGCCCCCCCCCGCCAGGGGCCGCACAGGACCGTGGTGCCGGCCGCTTCCCAGAGCGGAGCAGTGCAGAATGGGGCAAGGGCAGGCAGGGAGCCTGCCCTGGCCCCGGTGTGTGCTGCTGCCACCCCAGAGCCACTTTCAGGCTCCAGCCTGGTGCCGCTTGCCTAACCCCTCCTGCATCCCGCCCCCCAACTCCTTGCCTGCACCTTGCACCCCTCTTGCACCTCAACCCTCTGCCCTGAGTTCCCTGCTGCAGCCCGCACCCCAATCCCCTGCTCCAAGCGCCCTGCTACACCCTGCACTCCTCCTGCACCCCAACTCCCTGCCCTGAGCCCTCGCCACACCCTGCACCCCAACCCCCTTCCCTGAGCTCCCTCATACATCCCACACCCCTCCTCTGCCCCAATCCCTTGCCCTGAGCCCATTCCTGCACACCGCACCCCCTCCCACACCCTGCACCCCAAGCCCCTGCCCCAGTCCTGCATACAATTTGTGGCCCTCAGCCCAAAAAGTTTGCCCACTCCTGCTCTATGTACTGCCTGGCAATAAGCAAGAGGAGAAACTGGTCACTCAGAGAGCTCAAGTGGGCACCATGCAAAGTTACTCTCTGTACAGAACATCTGGTATCTTGCTCCCCAAATCCTCACTTGCAAGAGTGACATTTGCACCAGACTCCTATGGCCTGATCCCCAGCATTAGTTTCTGCTGGCTAGCTTTTCAGGTCTTAACTCTGTGTTCCCTCTCCCAAATCAACACCATCTGCAAACCAGAGCCCAGAGATATGAACACCTAGCTGCGACACCGGCTTCAGAGTGACAGAAACAAGATCGCAAGCTCCTAGCCAGTTTTATTCTGCAGCTGGCCCTACAGATTCAGTGTCTGTGCAGAGGGCGCTGTGCTCCCTTGTGTCTGCTGCTTCCCAAAGAGGGGCTGCTAGGGGTGAGAGACAGGGAGAAGAACTAACTAACGTGGGGAAAGGGACAGGACAGAAAACCTCACTGGAACTTTGTCAGGATTCGAGGAGAGCCCTCAAAAGCGATCCCCAATGTCAAGGTGGATTGTCTTGGGGAAGGAATTGTTAACGTGCCTGGAGCAGCAGTACCATGTATTGGCATCCACCCACTGACGTGTCGGAACCTAAATGATCATGGCCCATTCTCAGGATTCTCTTCACGGCTACCAGATGCTTAGTGAACAAGAGAAACACTGCTGCTTTGGCTGACACCATTTCCTCACTAACATTTCCTGAAAGCCAACCAAGATGGACAGACAAAGGCCAGCTCATCCCATTTAGGGACTAGAGGTCCAGTAGTCTGTCTCACAGCGGTCAGCACCAGCTACTTCAGAGGAAGGTAAAGAAACATGATGGAACAGCCTATCCATAGGGGTGTTTCTCATCGATTCCCCATCAGTTAGTAACTACGTTGTCCCATAAGGTATCAGGGCTTCGATCCCTTCTGAATAATTTTAACCCTCTCGAATCTAACTGCAGATGTTCTCATTAGCCATAAAAGGTCTAATACTTGTTTGAATCATGCTAAAATCTCATTGTGTAGCAATGAGTTCAACCAGCTAATTATACATTATGTGAAACATTTCCTGTAACTAGGTTTATTGAATGTGTTGTTGCCTTACAACTCCATTGAGTACCCACCATTCTTTTAAATAGAAATTGTGACAGATATGGCAACTTCCTGCAGTATCCTTAAATTTAATTCAGCAAGGTTTTTCAGGTAACTTGGGATCCATTGCACTAAATGCAGTTTATTGATTATTGTGGGCCAGGACTGTCTGTACCCTTGAGGGGGAGATGGGACGTAAGGCCTGATTGGAGGATATAAGGACTACAATGAACAACATGCCAGAAGAGAATGGACTTTTGACGTGGATTTCCTGGGAAACGTCTAGGGAGAGGGGAATGCAAATTCCCCACCTCTGGTAATGCCAGAACACAGCCTTTGGGAGCTCCGCCCTGAGGAGAGGGCCTTTGCCTGCTGATCCCCTGTTCCCACAAACTGGACATCTGTCATAAATATAAAGGGAAGGGTAACCACCTTTCTGTATACAGTGCTATAAAATTCCTCCTGGCCAGAAGCTAAACACTTTCACCTGTAAAGGGTTAAGAAGCTAAGATAACCTCGCTGGCACCTGACCCAAAATGACCAATGAGGGGACAAGATACTTTAAAAGCTGGAGGGGGGGAACAAAGGGTTTCTCTGTCTGTGTGATGCTTTTGCAGGGAACAGATCAGGAATGCAGCCTTACAACTCCTGTTAAGTTAGTAAGCAATCTAGCTAGAAATGCATTAGATTTCCTTTCGTTTAGTGGCTGGTAAAATAAGCTGTCCTGGATGGAATGTATATTCCTGTTTTTGTGTCTTTTTGTAACTTAAGGTTTTGCCTAGAGGGATTCTCTATGTTTAGAATCTGATTACCCTGTAAGATATTTACCATCCTGATTTTACAGAAGTGGTTCTTTTAATTAAAATTCTTCTTTTAAGAACCCGATTGATTTTTCATTGTTCTTTAGATCCAAGGGTTTGGGTCTGTGTTCACCCGTACAAATTGGCGAGGATTCTTATCAAGCCTTTCCCAGGAAAGGGGGGTGTAGGGCTTGAGGTGATATTTTGGGGGAAGACGTCTCCAAGTGAGCTCTTCCCCTGTTCTTTGTTTAAAACACTTGGTGGTGGCAGCATACGGTTCAAGGACAAGGCAAAGTTTGTACCTTGGGGAAGTTTTTAACCTAAGCTGGTAAGAATAAGCTTAGGACGTCTTTCATGCAGGTCCCCACATCTGTACCCAAGAGTTCAGAGTGGGGAAGTAACCTTGACAACATCAAAGGCCAGACACGTGTAATGAAATAGATGACCTGACCAGGTCACTGTTCTGTGTCAGAGCAAAGGCTGTTACGAACTTGTACCCCCCAGAAAACCCTCTGGGAGGGGTGTGAAAGGCTGACTCCTGCCAGAGCCCTGCTGAAGACGGGGTGATCCCTGGTGAGACCACTAGCAGGTGTGTAGGTTTTTATTGTTTGATTTGGTTTTCTCTCACCTTAAGAATAAATGAGCTGCGTGAGAACTTGTAACTGCTGACAATTCACACCATTACAGATCCCACACACTGCCTGCCACCAGATCTGTCATGGTGCAGACCAACGGCACAGGTATTCCCACTGTGGTCAACCAAGGGCACCGGCTCCTCAGCCATCACCTCTCTTGGGCGGGGACCTACGTCTCTCTCCTGCCAGACTGGGGCTTTCCTAGGCTGCACAGTTCCGCCCTCTGCAGCGATATCCCCAGAAAACCAGACTGCCTAGGCAGGCCAGCATCTGCGCTTGGTTTCTCTCCAAAGGCTGGGAACAGCTGTGATTGCCAGCAGGGATAAGTTACTGTCGTCAGAGTGCACCATGGAACTTTTGTTCACCTGGCCAGTTAGTGCGCTGTCGATTTACACCTTGGCTTGCCATGCACTAAGTCTTCATGACAAGCCCTAATTTGCATGCTTGTTTTTAGCAGCCCATCTCATGCTGGGTAGCTTAATCCACTTTGAGTACTGTGTGTGGCACGCTTCAAAGAGTGACTGAAGTTATCCAAGTGTTGAACTTGTTTGATCTCTGCCGTTACAGCAAAGGGGGCCAGTGTGTCAAGTAACCAAATTTCACTCAGTGGAGCAGGCTGGCTGGACAAGAAAGCAGCTGGCTCTCTGCATTCTTGGGATCATTATTACAACAGCCTACAGCGCAGCACCCCCAAATCCTGCTTTGGCCCTTCCACGTACTAGACAGACAGCCGCTAACCACACGCACAGAGCCAGAAGCAGCATCATGCGCTTTGAGAATCAAACACAGGGTGCGGAAGCAAGGCTGCTCCCCGCCCTGCCCCTCCAGCAGTGCCCGCCATGGGTGGCGCCCAGACCTCAGCCTTGCCCCTTCACTCGCTGGCGTTCGGTACCTTTTTGATGTTGGCCAGAATGCTGTGGCCGTCCACGTAGGCATCCCCCGAGGTGATGCTCTCGTCGCCCGTTAGCATTTTGAAGGTGGTGGTTTTGCCGGCTCCATTGAAGCCGAGCAGGCCGAAGCACTCCCCTTTGTTGACCGCCAGAGAGATTCTGTCCACAGCTAGCAGGGACTCACTGCTGTTATACACCTGGGAGAACGCAGAGAGCCAGCACGCAGTCACAGGGAGCCTGGGCTGCTTCTGTCTGCCACAGATGCATTACCACTGCTTCCTGACTGGGCGCTGGGCTCCACAGAGGATGCTCAGGGACAGGGCTCAGAAGGGGACCCCAAGAGCCTTGCGACAAATGAAATCCAAGCCCTTGACCTGACGCAGGGCTGAGAACACAGAATTAGATCCCCACCACCCACCCCTGCCCACCACAGCTGTGCCCAGTGTGACAAGGGAAGCTGACCATAATGTGGGCATTTGGCATCCTGAGTGTGAGCAGCGATGGGGCTCAGGCCCCTGTCTCATGGCAGCCAGTGTGCAGGGCCTTACCATGCAGTGCTCAGGATCACAGAATCATAAGACTGGACGGGACCTCGAGAGGTCATCTAGTCCAGTCCCCTGCACTCATGGCAGGACTAAGTATTATCTAGACCATTCCTGACAGGTGTTTATCCAAGCACCCAGGGAAATGACAAGCATGGGCGCCTCACTCCACATCCACCGAAGCCCAGGGCTTTCCTTGGGCACTTTGCAGTCAATGCCTCCCCATGGACATGCCAACAGGACACTCCAAGGACTAACAGCTGCACTCTTTCACCCCAGCGTGCCCAGCAGGGCGTGGTCAGCATGGCCACCTTCACCCTGGTGAGTGGCATTGTGGAACTTGGCATTTGTGCCAAGTTGCTGGGGATACTGCGGGAGGAAAGGCCTGATTTTGCTGCTGTGCAAATGCACAGTCCAGAGGCTGTGCAAACGCTCCCCCGCACGGCTTTGCTAGAACACCTTGAAATCCAGACCTGCAACACCCCTGCTAGAGCTGCAATGGCACAAACCATCCGTGTCCATCCCCTTTAACCTGGGACCCCTGTAGGGATCGGATCTGCAAGGTGCCTGGGCTCCAGCTCACCTTGGTGAGCTCCTTGATGACCAACGGGCTGCTCAGCGATGACAGCAGCTCTGGCGGGGACTCCAAAACTTTCTTTCTCTCATCTGCCACATCCCTGTCTTCCGGCAGCACAGGGATCCTGTTCAGCAGCATTGCCTATGCCGGTGGAACCAGAGGGAGTTACTGGCAGGGGCAGGCGGGCTGCCTTGGGCTGACGGTGGGCAAGCCCCCAACACGGAGAAATGCAATGTTCCGATACACCCTGGATGGATCCTCCCCCCAGCCAACCTGAGGATTGATCCCCCCACCCGGTTGACCCTTCAGCCTAGTTGACTCTAGGAACAATTCTCTGCTCTGCACCACGCCTGACACAGCCCTGGTCGGGGGGGTGGGGGAGGGAAAGAAACCCCCACGCTCAGAGAAGGACAGACCAGTGCTGTGAGCAGTTTAGCCAGGGCTGGAGAAGTCACCCCAGATTACTCCTGCTCTTAGTCAGCAAGAAGATGGGATTTAGAGCAAAGAGCAGGTAGTCTGTGGCTCCGACACAATGACCACACCTCTCACAGGCCTCGTACTCTGTTGAGATTTGGCTTTCTTTCTAAGTCATGCTCTGGGGGGCTTTCCTTACACCAGACTGATGCAAATGCCCCTGAACTGAACGCATATCCCCCAATCCCAATGGTTCCAGATGCTCGGGGACAATCAGGACCAGATCCGAACTGAGTGCTTTGGGTGCAACTCCAGTTTGTATCATCACCCCAAGAGCCAACGGGCCCGATTCACATTTACACCAGTGTCACTTCCCTGACATCAGCAGAGCCGATCAGCAGAGTCTCTACAGGATCGCAAGCACACATGTACCCCCTGCAACACTGGGCCTGGCAGACTTCCTGCTGCACAGGCTTGTGCCCAGGGGCACACGCACAGTAGCCAAACCTGGCAGAGGGGACCATGAGCAGGGCAGTTGCTGGTATGAGTCAAGAAAAGGGCACAGACCATGAAGAAAGAAGGTGGGGGATAGAGGAGACCTGAAACTACAATGCTCAGTCAACAGCTCACCCATTTCCGCCTCCTACTGATGCTGCAGATGAAGGTCCTCAGTCTCCAGAGGAGGTTAGTTTCAATGAGGAAGAGGAGGAGGAGGAAGGCGGTTCCCTGGACACTCAGGGAAGTCAGATATTGCCCAATCCCTGGAGTCTCCCATGAGAAGTAATTCATCTGGTAACTGATATCTGGAAGGGGGGGGAAAAAAAAAAAAAAAAATCAGAGATGAGTCATTCTGCCCTTGGGTGGGAGGGGAGGATTCTCCCTTTTATGTTTTCAGAGTGAATACAGCCAGGGCTTCCCCCCTGCACAGCTCGGCCAGTGCCCCCCCACCCAACCTGCTGCATCCCCTAGCCAGGGCTTCCCCGCCAAGCGGCCTCTCAGCTCGGCCAGTGCCTGCCCGCCCTACCCCGCCCCCCCCCAAACCTGCCACTCCCCCTAGCTAGGGTGTCCCCCGCAGCTAGGCCACTGCCCCTCCTCCGTGCCACCCCCCCGTCAGTCAGGGAATGCAAACTGGCAAGGATCCGGTGATGCAGAAAGATGCCTATGAGGACTCACACAAAGACCACTGGATTCTTCACTCTTTGTCCAGAGTTTGCCGAAACCCCACTGTGCCCTTCCCCCTCCCCATTAGCCTTTAACCATCTCCTCATTTCTTGCTTTCCAAACAGACTTCTCAGCTCCACCATCCTAGGGCAGGAGTGGAACCCCAAGGTGCTGGAACCACAGATTTCCCATGCTAAGGTGTCCTGAAGGAGCACTAACTGCAGAAGCCAGGCCTGCCATCCCCAGAGAAACAAGGAGGCAGAGATTCGCCCTTGTTGTGCGTTCACACGTCAGGGACCAAACACCAGTAAGCTTTCAAGTATTTTTCACCTCTCTCCAAGATCCCCCCCGTGAACTCTTCTGTCTTGGCCCATCAATACCATGGCTCTGGGTGACCATGAAGGTTCTAATCGGCTCTCCAGCTCCCCAGGAGCCCAAATGCCAAGTCAATAAATATAATTCCACTTGTCAATTTGCACTAGTTTCCCCAGACGGAGCAGAGCCTCAGGAATACAATTGCACCATGAAGGCACTCAATAGCACCAAATGATACAGAGGGGTGAGCAGCATTCGTAATCCAAATTCCCTCAAATGTCAGCTATGTTCCTTTCTCTCCCCCTAACACCCAACACCTCTCAGAAAAGTCTGCTATGGACACCTGCGCGTGCCATCTTACTGCAAGGTGCGTAGGGATGCTGGACAGTTGTGGGCTGGCGAGCTGAGCAGGGAGCAACTGGGACACTCACTGAATGCTTTGCAGATGATGTTGGCTTCAATGGAAGAGGTGCAAAACTGAATGAACTCGTAGTTCTGGTAAAAGTCACTGATGCACTGGCCCAAGCAGTAGTTGGGCAAAATCAGGAAGATTTTATCCAGGGTTTTGGACAGGTCCATGAGGCCCAGCTCTGAAAGAGAAACAAGATCAGCAGGGCGGACTTCAATGATGGAACCTGCTGTTTCTCCAAGAAAACACAGCGCCAAAACTTCAGAGTTTACAAAGCTAGGAGGGAAAATGAATTGGCACCACGGGGCATGGCAGAAGGAATGAATATGCAGAGATTTCCCTGCTCGCAATTAGCACTGTAGGGTCCCCCAGCAAAGGAACTGAGGAAAACCTCTTTCCACTGGAGGCCAAATCATCTCAGCGTTCTTACCAGGGGGGTGGCTGGGGGTGGGGGGATTCTGTCAGGAGGGCAGTGGGCAGCCCCTTTACCTGGAATGCTCATGATCGTGACCGTGAGGAAGGTGGTCGTGCCAGAGAAGATGTTGAAGATGGTGAGGCGCGTGTAGGCTGTAGCTGCCGCTGAAAAGAAGAAGCTGAGTAGGTACATGAGGGGGATGATGGCCCAGCCGTAGAGCAGGAAGATCAGCATCACATCGACAAGGTGGCTGTCCTGGGTGAAAGCTTTCACATCGAAGGCTTGGAATATCACCTTAGAGACGACATTGAAAGGAGAACCAGCACGACTCCTAGAGTCTCCATCTGAACAGGCCAGACGGCAGGATTGTTAAGCTGTTAGCTAACTCTTCACACACACTGCCAGCTCCCCCCGGGGCCTGGGCAGAGTCAGCTGTCTCATGGAGCGCCCCGCTCCACACAACCCCACCAGCTCCCACCAAGGTATGACAACATTCTCCTTCGAGAAGAAGCCATAGATCGTGATACCGGGAGTAAAGCAACACTGTTTACACTTCACCACCACCACAAGTCTTTCCAGCAGGATTTCTGTAGGCCAGAGATGCAGTTTTTCCTTTTGGTCCTTTATAGTAATCGAGACAATAACGGATCCAGCTGGGATAGTCCCATTCTATCTATCCCCAGACTACAACACTGGGCACCATGTACACACCTGAGCATCTCGGAAACATCAGTGAATTTATCCTCAACCCCTGGAGAGACAGAGAAATATTATCCCCATTTTACGGATGGGGAACTGAGTGACCGGGCAGATCAGTAACTTGCCCAAGGTCACAAAGGCAGGCTGAGACACATCAGGCCAGTGGATCCAGGTCTCATCACCAGTTCATGCAAGCCACCAGTTCGCATCCCTCGTGAAGAGGCTCAAGGAGTCCATGGCAAATGGGCCATCAAGAGCTGGCCAGGGAGGGCTGCCCATACCACACCCCTGAGCTACATGACGTGGTACAGCCCAACTGGACTGGCCACATCAGCATCTCCTACAGCTTCTGGCCATTCGGGAGCCACCTTCAGCCCTGCTTTGCCTATTACTGTAATAAGATGGCCCCGATGATAGGAGATGTGTGGGAGTTGACAAAATTACTGGCCTAGTGAAAACAGGGGGGAGAAGCAGTAGACATGATATATCTTGATTTTAGTTAGGCTTTTGACATTCTCATAAGCAAATTAGGGAAATGTGGCGTACATGAAATTGCTGTAAGATAGGTGCACAAGGGGTTGAAAGACTGTATCAATGGTTCGCTGTCAAACTGGGAGCATGTTGCTAGTGGGGTATCACAGGGGTCAATCGTGGGTCTGGTACTATTCAATACTTTCATTAATGGTTTGGATAATGGAGTGGAGGGGATGCTTATAAGATCCACAGATGACACCAAGGTGGATGTGGTTGCTAGCCCTTTGGAGGCCAAGATTAGAATTCAAAATGACCTTGAGAACTGCAGAATTAGTCTGAAATCAACAAGATGAAAGTCAATCAAGTCAAGTGCAAAGTACTTCACTTATGAAGGAAAAATCAAATGCACAGCTACAAAATGGGGAATCACTGGTTAGGCAGCAGAACTTCTGGAAAGGATCTGGGGGTTAGAGTGGATCACAAACTGAATATGAGTCAACCAGGTGATGTAGGTGTGAAAAAGGTGAATATCATTCTGGGGAGCCTTAACAGGAGTATTGTATGTATGACACAGGAGGTAATGGTCCTGCTCTGTGTGGCACTGGTGAGGCCTCAGCTGGAGTTCTGTGTCCAGTACTAGGCACCCCACACTTTAGGAAAGATGGGGACAAACTGGAGAGTGTCCAGAGGAGAGCAACACAAAAATAATAAAAGGTTTAGAAACCATGACCTGTGAGAAAAAGTTAATCTGGGCACATTTAGTCTTAAGAGGAAAAGAAGGTGGGGGGGGGGAGACACCCGATAACAATCTTCATATCCGTTAAGGGGTGTTATAAAAAGAGGAAGGTGATCAGTTGTTCTCCAGTCCACTGAAGGTAGAAGAACCAGTGGGCTTAATCTGCAGCTAAGGAGATTTAGGTTAGCTATTAGGAAAAACTTTCTGACTACAAAGGCAGTTAAGCTCTGGAATAAGCTTCGAAGGGAGGTTGTGGAATTCCCATCAAGGGAGGTTTTTAAGAGCAGCTGGACAAACATCTGTCAGGGCTGGTCTAGGTTGACTTGGTCCGGCCTCAGTGCAGGGGGCTGGACTAGATGACCTCTCGAGGTCCCTGCCAGCTCTACATTACTATGATTCTAAACCAGGGACATGACAGTGGTGACTCACCAGCATCAGCGCACAGGGAATGAGGAAATTGATGAGGTCCCAAAGCAGGGCCGAGAGCCAAAAATTGGCCACGTAGACCCCGCTGACAAACTGCACGTGCTTGGCCTTGATGGCTCTCTCGCTGACCAGCAGGAGCGCGAAGGTGCTGGACAAGGAAGCCATCCCATAGAGCAAGTTAATAGCAATGGCGAACCCAGTCTGGCCTCTAAGGGAACATTAAAGCAACTGGTTAGCAGGGGGAAAATCCCATCAGAGCAATATCGAGCATTTTAACTCATGCTGCTGTAGGCTGCACGCAGACCAAGCTGGTGGCTTGAGCTACTGCGGCTGTATGGCCTATTGCTATCCCCTCCCCCAGCATGGATTCTCATAATGCCAGATGGGTCCTGACCATCTTCCAGACCCACCCCTGGGCTCCCTCCCAGTCACTCTAGGCAGCTCTGAGACCAGTGCTCCAGCCTGGAGAGCGGATGGGCATCTCCGGGAGACGTTCCTGGTGTAATGTGTTCAGCATTTGCTGCACCAAAGGGCAAATCCTGAGCGGTGCTGAGCACCTGCAACTCCCATCGACTTCAGTAAGAACTGCAGACACTGTGCACTACTCAGAATTGGGCCGCAGCAGTTCACCCCTGGCTGGACCTTTATGCATCACACAATTCAGCCTCAATGGCAGGCTGCTTAGGCTGTGGAGAGGAGACCAGGGTTGGAAAAGCATGGTGTGCCGAGGTGCCAGCAGAGCTCGAGCAGCCCTTGTCCACCCCAGGCTCAGCTCAAGGGAGCCAAACCCATGCCCAAGACCTAAGTGAAATAAAAATGAACAAGCACTACAGTAGTAACCCAGCGTCTCCACCCACGGCTCTCAGAGCACCTGGCAACCATCAACTAACCCGAACACTCCCTTGTGAGATCAGCAGCATGATTCTCTGGGAAGAGAGGGGAGTCAAGGCACAGACAAACGTGGTACTGCTTGGCTGAAAGCGGGCATCTCCGTTGTCAAGTACTTGCCTTTAGACACCTACAGCCTGACTTCCCAAGGTGTTCATCAGCTCTATCGTCCACAGCTGGGATCCTGGGCCCCCAGCACCTCCGAAAACCAGGCTCTGGGTGTCTAGAGACAGACTCAGCCACTGAGACACCCACTTTTGCCTATTTGGGTTTACGTGACCTTGGGCGAGGTCACGCAGCAAGTCTGTAGCGCAACTGGAAACAGTGCCCTGATACCCTGACTCCCAGGCCTGTGCTCTTGCCTGAGATAATACTCCCAGCTTTGTTCAGCCTTGGGAAACTCTGCGCGGGACCCTCCGCTGGTGCAAGTTAGCGTGGCTTCATTGGAATGGATGGAACTAGGCCTATTCACTCCAGCTGCGGATCTGGGCCCCTAACCCCTGGCATGAAAGCAAGCAGTAAGGAAGCTGAATGTACTCCATGAGTTGGTCCTTCGCCGTCTCTGTGATGTTCCGGGGCTGGGGATAGTTGGTGACAGTGATGGAAGCATTGGGTCCAGCCAGCAGCCGGAACAGGGCGTTGTCTGCCAGCATCAGTGCAGTGGCGGAGGCATGATACGCCTGGTTGTTGAACAGCGCCGTGATCACCGTGCGGTTTTTGACCTCTCCGAAGGAAGCAGCTGCGATGTAGCGTTCGTTGAAAGTTCCGCCCTCCTCCGCCGCTCGGGAGATCAGGTACTCCTCCAGGTCACCTGTGCCAGGCACACCCACTTCACCATTACAAACGGACCCCAGCAATGCACACCAGGGCCTGAGCATAAGAGATACCAGGCAACTACACTCCACCAGAAGTCAACGGGAGCAGGGGAGGCTCCACACCTCAGAGTCCAGCTCTAATACAGCCTGATGGGGGAATTAGGTGCAAGGCTGAAAGAAATCGCATGCTATACAGGCGGGTGGGTCTTAGGTTTGTGTTGGTGGTGTTTTAATTCAACTTCATTTTAGGCAAACCTCAGAACATGCTGCATGGCTCTGCAAATCCCCAGGGTTTGGATAGGACACACATGACAGGCAACTGATAGATCTGATCAGTGATAGGCAGCTTGCTTAGTATAAAACGGAAATGCCCTTTGAAGGGAGCATAGATACTGCTAGTATGTCTCTGAGAGAAGTCAAAAGAGGTCACACCATCCAGAGTTCTTGCTAAGGGATGAACCTACAGGCCGTTATTTAATGTAACAGAAGAAACAGAATAGCAAGTCTACCAGTAGTGCAAGCATGTCAGAGACAGACAGACAGGCCCACAAGGACCAAACCTAACACATTTGGAGAAGGGTTATTCAAAGAGAGCTGTTTATAGGAAAGCCTGTACAGCAATTCCAGGCCTTCCTATAAATCCAGATTTCCTCATTTAGAAGCAAGATGTGCTTGTGTTTAACACAGCGCTCTGAAAGCCAACATATTTTTAAATTAAATAAACGCACGCAGAGTCTGGGAAAGCTGAATTAAGTTTAACCCCCTGTTCTGGTCTACATGAGGAAACACTGATGCATCTGCAAACATCTACTTGTTTTACAGACTGCAGAGGCTAGCTAAGAGCCAACATAGCCTACCCTGAGAAATAACATGGAGACAATAGGCAGGCTATATGCAGATCTGGATACATTTAATGAGCATTAATACGCACACCTTATATTAAAAACAAAGCCAGTAAATACTGAGCCCAGAACGGAGTTCTGAGCTACTGGAGAAATCTTTTGTTACCCTCCATAGAAAGAATTAGCTACCAGAAGTGCCCAGATTGAAAGGCAGGTGGAAACTGGGAGGTTAAGGTGGAGCTCTGTCTTTAGCATGCCTGCTTAGCGAAATGGTCTAACAGGTCAGGATCAGAAATAACCTATGTACTGCATTACCCAAGCTGTTCAGGATCCAGCGAGGCTGGAATCTCACTTCCCCAGTGTCTGTTGGCTGCATCACATTGATCCTGCTCAGTTATTCTAGCTACTCCCGATCTTCGGACCAGGCAACCAGCAGCTCTTACAGATATGGCCTGATGCTGTATGACCCCTCCCGAGTAGCAGCCCCACCCCTGGCCTGACCTACCTAGCACCTCCTGGGGCACTTGGCCCTGAGCATCCAGTAGCACTGCAAACTGTTCCGCCAGCCTTGGGGAGATCCTGGATGCCTCAGAGACAGAGAAAGGCACGACAGTCTTGCCATACGGGTCCAGCGTCAGCCTGAGCAGCGCAGAATCTCTTGGCCCGGGGAAGGTCTTGGCAACAACCAGAGCAAGGGTTGTGAAAATCAGAGGCACCAGGAACTGCGCTACCACCATCTTCCAGTTGCGCCAACTGTACACTGCCCTCTTCACGAACATGGCATAGAACTGCTGGCAGCGCAGGTAGAACTGAGATGGGAGAGAGGGGAGGGGAGGTTTTAATTGGACACCAGCAGACATCCTAGCAGGACAAGCATGCTAAAACCCATCCCTGCTGGGCCCTTCCTGACCCAGACAATGCTAACTGGACTAACATCAGAGCTCCCACTAGCGATGCTGGCTTCCAGCAAAGCCCACCAGGAGATTATGAGGGATTAACAACTTGACTTCTGATGGCAAGGTCAACAATCTGCAACTAACAAACAGGCCACTGTCAGCTTGAGATCCGATCCGTTTTCAGAAGAGTAGCTCCTGCTCCCAAGGCCCCAGCCAGTTTTTGTGGTTTTACAACCACCTTGTCTTACTTTTTTCTCTTCTCCCCTGTGGCTTAGTGACATAGACACACAGAGCAACAAGAGAACGTGATCACACAGGGTGCTGCTGCATCTGCACAAAGCGAGAGAAAGATTGTGTCCACTAATCTCCTTCAGTGCTAGGCGTAGGCGCGCTACTTGGAACAACAGCAGGGAAAAGATTAGATAATCTGCATCTCTTTCAATCGGAAGTGACCCTTTAAACATAACCTTTGCAGTGTTGTTGTAGCTGTGTTGGGGGGCCCAAGACAGCTTGTCCCTTCTACCCAACAGCAGCTGATCCAATAACAGACATTGTCTCTCCTCTAGATCTAATGCACTTTTAAAAGGGCTGCAGTGGCTATTCCCTCATTGAATGCACAAAATCCATCTAGCAGAGGAAAGACACCATAGAGAGGAAATCCGTCTTTATAGTGCTGGAAATATTCAGTGTTAAACATTGACAAGAGTAAGACCAGGACATTTCAAAAGGAGACAGGCATTCTTGTACTTCCCAGTTAAAGGCTTAAGATGCACAAGATCCAGTGATTTTGCTGTGGTGGAATTCTACCTCTTCTCCTATACACCTCAACCCTGGCACAGCAACTAGTGCCGGTCAAATAAGAGGGGTTTAAGAAAGAAAGAAATAAGAAAGAGAGAGACCAAGACACAGCTCAGATTGCAATTCTGGGCATTTGAAATCAGAAGCAGTGGGAATCTAGAGTCAGAGGATGGGACTAGAATCAGGACTCCTGGGTTTTAATTCCTGACTCGGTCACTCACTCACTGTGTAAGCTTGGGCAAGTCACTTCACCGCTCTGTGCCTCAGTTTCCCTATATGTAAAATAGGGATCCGATACTGACCTGCCTCACAGCTACACGGGTGAAGCTAGCCAATCACTGTGCTCTTGAATGAACTTGCACAGAAAAATGACAAAAGACAAAAACACTATCAACCATGGGAGGACACTTCAAAAAGCAATCGCTCCACATCTGGCCGCTCCAAGAAAATATGCGCCACACCTTTGACAGACACCCCTGGGAGCTTAAATTCATAACTTTGCTAGATACCAAAAATCATGGACTCAATAGAGACACTGGTTGTATGTCTCATTACAACAACCTGTAACACACTAACACTGCTTTGCCTTATGACTGCAGTGTTTGTTAAATGCCCACTTCATCTTGAATGATCTCCTGCAATATGTGTTAACTCCTTACTAAGCTTAATAACCTGTTCCCCCTTGCATTTAGCTGTGACACAGATTCCCTTTCCCAGACCTGAAGAGGAGCCTGGTGTAGCTGGAAAGCATGTCTCTTTCACCAACAAAAGTTGGTCCAATAAAAGATACTACCTGCCCCATCTTGCGTCTTTGTCTCAATAGGACAGTTCAATTTCTGTAGAGTGAGTCAGTTAACGTTAGTGAAGTGATTTGAGAACCTCTTGCGGAAGGGTCTAGTGAAGTGCTTTTAAATTATTCTTATTAATAGGGAAAAGCACCATATGCTGCTATGTGGCCCAAGACTCCTAGGGCCAAATTCAGAGAAGGGCTAGATTTCGAGGGATTTAAGCAACTTGGGATGTAACTTACACCTTCTTCCTTCCCCCCTCAATGTGTAAATTACTCTCAGACTCACCTCTAAATCTGGCTCTGTCTTGATTTCCTCCAGACCCCAACCAAGCCAGTGGAGACGCACTCTAGCCTTCCCTATGCCCGGATATTCCCGACAGAGCACTCACCCCCGTGTTCAGTTTGATACTGGAGCAATCCTCCGTGATCAGAGCCCCACTATCATCAGTCATGTCAGTCATTCCACTCAGGCTGCTGGAGTCATCCATGGCCCAGTCATTGGACCGCCTCTCGTGCTGGTACTGCAGGGCAGGGAGTTGGATGGCTTGGATATCCATGCTGGAGTCCACCAGTTTCCCAACCCTGAAACAGAAGGAAAAGCAGCCAATGGAAGTCAGGCAGAGAACTGAATTTCATGCTGCTACGTTAAAACAAAGGAGACTCATGGATCAGTGCTAACAACTTGCACTACAGATCAGCCTGAGCCCACACAACCATGCAGGGTTGTAAACGGACAAGCTGAACTCCAGGCCACAGGCCCTTTCTCAGCCTACGTTCATTCAGACTTTTGCCGGATCGACTCATTCCCCCACCCTGTATTCTTCTCTCAGCTATTCATTCCCAGTTCAGCCATGAAGAGGAGGGTTCGTGGAAAGCTTTTTACTGTGAAAATGTTGGTCCAGGAGCTCCGGGGGCTCTCGTGAACGCTGCTTGGATTTTTTTTAAATCCAAGACGACAGATTTGGCGGCTTTGGCCAATCACGTGCTGACTCAAGTGGCATTTCAAGAGAGCCTCCCAATCCAACTTCACAGTGCCCTAAACAGCAGCTTGACTTGGGTTTACCACCAGTGACACATAGTTGAAGTGGAAGAGGTCTGTGCTGTGGATCTGAGGGCTGGCAGGGTTCAAACACTGTTAATGACTCATACAGAGGTGAAAAATGTATAAAATTGAGTGCGAGGATACTGGAGTAATTGCCGGAATGACTGGGGATCAGCCGAGTCCCTTCTGGACTTCCGTGACTGACTATGAACAACAGGAGTCAGGGCTACACTAAATCTCAGTGATCAGTCGCGTAAGAGACGCATGAAGCCCAGACACCCCAGGAGGGTTCAGTTGTTTCCTTAGAGGTGCCTAGAGTGTCCTTACTCTCAGTACAGGTTTTACACGTCCACCTCGCACAAGCTATTCTGATCTCAGAGCTCCACTGCAAGACTCAGATCTGGAAACCTTTCCTGAGAGGATAAGGAAGGGGATTGGGTTCACTCGTCATGTCACTGCATTGAAACGGATATTACTGCTGGGGCTCGTATTCGGAGACACCACCTTTAGTGAGTGGGGGTGCAAGCCTTCCCCGCTGGCTGTCCAAACGGCTCATCGCGTGATACCCACCTGAGGAAGACCTCCTCCATAGTGGTGACAGATGCACCATAGCTAGCGATCCCCAACTCCTCCCGTTTCTGCTCCAGCTCTGTGAACAGTGCCTCAAACCTGCCAGGACAGGGATGGAGTTAGAAGCTATATTCTGGCCCTTGCTAGAAGCCGGCTCCCCAGTTTCCCTGTGCAGAGGCCAGGCAGTAGCCAGCCACACTTGTTCATTAGGATGCCAGGCAGACAGCGCCCTCTGCGTGGCTTGATGTGAGACAAGCTTGTTCAATTAATGGACCAGCAGAGGGTGAAGGGAAGCAAGATAGAGTAGAACAGCAGTTCACCAGTAGGTGTTGTCGCCCTAGATACCCAGTGTCGGGATTTCAGGCAGACAGGGTTGTACGGGAATCAAGTTAGCTAAGGGCAAAGAGACCGCCCAGACACTGGCCAGGCGCTGGCATGAGCCAATGAGCCTGGGTTCCATCGTGCAGCTCCTGCATTCAGTGACGCTTTGGCTCCAGAGCAGCTTTTCCGCTCAGTCTTTACCCACCTGCCTTGCAATGGAAGCTCTGGGTGGTTTGCCAAGAGCACTGTCATCTCATTGCAGCTTCACTAAGCCCCTGTGGAAATGCTAATCAGCAGCATTAACTATTTGTATTAACTGTTTATATCCCTGTTGCACCCTCGGCAACTAGCCCTACTGTGCGACGACATGGCCCCTGCCCCAAGGAGCTCACAATCCAAGCAGCCCACCAGCGATACATCCCCACTACCATTAGTGACAGCATGCCTGGGAACAGCAGGGATCTCCCCCCAGGAGTAGGAGCACTCCGGTGCCAAAATCGGACTGCTCTAGCCTTGCCTAAATGGAGGTGGAGGGCTCCTGCACTGAGCACAGAGTCACGCAGCAAAGCTGCTTCCTCAGTCTCTTTTCTGTGCAACTGAGGGGCGACCTATATGCCCCACTCAGGCAGTCTGGTCTGTCTTCTCTAGATACAATAGCTGGGGTGTACCAGAGACCCTCCATCCTAGAAACGCTATTGGCCAGTCCAGGCAGAAGCCCTGTTTGGCAGTTGGGAATGCCCCAGGTCCCAAAGGGAGTCAGCATCAGCATTATAACCAGGTCTCCTGGGTCATAATCCTGTGCTTTAACCACCAGGCAACACTGCTCCTCTAAGCAGCCCTTCAATTGATAGCTTTGCTTTTCCTACTGGCTGTTTGCCCAGTTTAGTCTGGATTTCTGTCCATGTTAGGTACCTCTCTGGCACCCATCACCACAGCGTGTGGGGGACTCACAGTCTTTAATGTATCTACCAGCATCCTGGGAAGCAGGGCAGAGCGACTGTCCCCATTGTACAGATAGGACCTGCAGCCCAGCCAGGCTAAGGGACTTGCCCAAGGTCACATAGGAAGTCTGGGGCAAAGATTTGGACCCAGGCTCCCATGTTGTAGGCTAGTGCCCTAACCACTGGCCCAGCTTTCCTCCTACACCTTGCTGGATAACCGAGCAGTGCAGCATAGTTTAGGTCTCTAATTGCTGACAGGCCTTGTTTGTGTGCCAGAAATCTGGGCCCCACAGCCATGTAAACAGCAGTGAAGGCAGCTATGGTAATTGCTGAGAGCAGCTGTTACCTGTGTGTGCTCTCTGTGGGCAGAATGAAGGACAGCTCGGCCCCAGCATTGCTCTCCAGGCTGGCATTGGGCACGTACTGACAAATGAGGCGGGAGATCTCCCCTAGGTTACAGTACGGCTCCTTCACCATCACCATGTGGTAGCCAGCACCTGGGGGAAGATCAGTTAAAGACAAGCACCAGTCACAAAGGAAATTCCTTCCAGGGCATACCTAGCCTCTTGCTGCTGAGGAGAAGACAGGGCCTGACCTAATGCCACATTACATGGACTTCTACAACCTAATGCAAGGTGGCACCTTGACAGGATCTGAAGGGAGGCTCACCTGCTCTCCTTAGCTGGGAGCTGGTGGACGTGACCCCAAGGACTAGTGGATAGTGTTGATCTAGAGGGGGGCCCTCAGGAATCACAGCACCAGCAGGAGCGGAAAACCCTCCCAGCCTCACGGTGTCTGCAGTCTCTCTAAAAACATACGAGCATAAGAACGGCCAGACTGAGTCAGACCAATGGGCCATCTAGCCCAGATTCATATCTTCTGACAGCAGTCGGAGCCAGGTGCTTCACAGGGAACGAACAGAGCAGGGCAATTATCAAGTGATCCATCCCCAGCTTCTGGCAGTTAGAGACACGTGGTGCATGAGTCGTGTCCCTGACCATCTTGGCGAATAGCCATCAATGAACCTATCTGCATGAACTTACCTAGGTTCTCACCATGAGGAATATGGGCAGATGACATCTCCGAAAGAGAGAACGGCAACAGGCAGGGGAGTGAGTGAGTGAACAGGAATACAAAACGGCCAGAGGTTTCCTTGTTAGAGCCACCACCCCTTCGCCCTTGGATTCTCCTTCTCCCCAAGGTGCCTGATGTAGACACGCTCCAGGGTAGACGTAGACTCCTGAGCCCACGAGTGCTCTACACTAGGCTGCCTAGGGGCACCGATCACCTGCAGCAGCACCCCTGCCTCCAGCCCAGCACTGCAACCCTAAACAGGGCCTGAGGAGGACGAAAGGCAGACTGGAGAGAGAGCCCACCCTGCATTCACACTGCTGGGGTGGGTTCTGTCCCGTGGGACTGGGCCCAGCTCCCTCCGCCAGTCCCCCTCCATCAAGATGATGGGGCAGCTGGCCAAATCTGAGCGAGCAGTGTTGCGACCTGGCATATGGGGTTGCAGTGCCCCTCAGGTTTGGGCCAGGATACCGTCTGTCACGATGGAGGGGTGGCAGCTGTGCCAAACCAGTCATGGGGAGGGGAAGCTGGGCCAAACTTGAGCTGAGGGCCCTGTGCAGGTGTACACTGGTTAATCTGGGCCTGATTCCTATGGGTGCAGTGGCCTCCCCATACCATATTTGTGCTTGAGGAAGAGCGAGGACCCGCAGCATTGCAGCTCGCCCTGGGCCATGATGGCAATGCGGTCTCCAAGCAGGTCTGCCTCGTCCATGAAGTGGGTGGTCAGCAGGATGGTACGGCTGCTCCTCTGGTGCTGGAGGAGGTCCCAGGTGGCCCTGCGGGAGGCTGGGTCCATTCCTGATGTCGGCTCATCCAGCATCACCACCTGTGCACCAGAGAAGGTTGTCCATTAGATGGGCCCGAGGCAGACCTGGCACTGTGCAGGGACCTGAGCTAAACACAGCCCTGGCCTGGCAGCTCCACAAAGACATGGGGAGCGGGGACATAGATAGTTAGAACAGGGTCACAGGAGCAACAAGTGCGAAATTAGGGGTGGAATCAGCCCAGCATCTTACATGTCTGTACACAACTGCAGGGCAAACTGGGGAACAAACAGGAAGAACCGGCAGTATTAGCATATGAGCTAAACTCTGACTTAATTGGCAGCAGAGACCTGTTGGGATAAGTCTCATGACTAGACGATTGGTAAAGAGGGGTGTAGCTTGCTCAGGAAGGACAGACAGGGTAAAAAGGGAGGAGGTTTGCATTATACATCAAGAACATGGACACTTGTTCTGAGGTCTAGGAGGTGGTGAGAGGAAGATCATTTGAAAGTTTCTGGGTAAAGAACAACAAGGGTAAAAAATAGGGGTGACATCATGGTAAGGGTCTACTATAAAGCACCAAATCAGGAAGAGGAGATGGATGAGGTATTCCTAGGACAAACAACAGAACTATCCAAAACCCAGTAGCTGGTAGTAATGGGGGACTGGAACTACCCGGACATCTGTTGGGAAAGTAACGTGGCAAAAGACAAACTTTTCAGTAAGTACTTGGAGGGTATTGGGGACAAGTTGTTTCTGAATGTGTAGGAAAGAACCAGGCAGACAGCCATTTCAGACTTGATTCTCAGCAACAGGGAGGAACCGGTGGTGAATCTGAAGGTGGAAGACTATTTGGGTGAAAGTGATTCACAATTCCAAGGAAAGGAAAAAGAGTGAAACAGCAGAATAAGGACAACGGACTTCCAAAAGCTGACTTTAATAAACTCTGTGAACTGGTAGGTCAGGTCACCATGGGGAGAAAATCTAAGGGATAAAGGAGTTCAGGACAGCTGGCAGTTTCTCGTGGAGACAACTGCAAACTACCCTGATGCAAAGAGGGAAAACAGGAAGAGGCCAATATGGCTGCGTCAGGAGCTCTTTAATGACCTAAATGTCAAAAAGGAACCCTGCAGAAAGTGGGAAGACGACGACTTGCTAAGGAGGAGTACAAAAGAACAGCACAAGCACATACAGACAAAATCAGAAAGGTTAGCCACAAAATGAGTTACACCTAGCAAGGGACATAAAAGGCATTAAATACATTAGCAACAAGAGAAGGAGGAAGGAAAGCGTAGGACCTCTACATCAGAGGTGGGCGAACTACGGCCCGCGGGGACCCTCCTGCCCAGCCCCTGAGCTCCTGGTCCAGGAGGCCAGCCCATCCCCCGCAGCCTCAGTGTGCCGTGCTGCCGGTGTAGTGTATTCAACTGCTCCGCATAGGAATGTGCTACTGGTAGCAGTTACGGAGAGCCATTTACTACACTACACCGATGCAACGCTCTGGGCGGCCGGCCTGTAGCGCCGCTAGCCACCAGTGTTCTGTGCTGCGCGGTAAGGGGGGTTGGATAGAGGGCAGGGGAGTTCGGGGTTGTGGTCAGGGGATGGGGTTTGGGCGGTCAGAGGGTGGGTTGAATGGGGGCAGGGGTCCCGGGGGGGCAGTCAGGAAGGAGGGGGGTTGGATTGGGTGGTGGGGGGCAGTGAGTGGGGTGTGTGTGGATGGGACAGGACTCCTGGAAGGGGGGGGGGCGTAGCCTCCCCTAACCAGCCCTCCATACAATTTCCAAAACCCAGTGTGACCCTCAGGCCAAAAAGTTTGCTCACCCCTGCTCTACCCAGCAGGGAAGGAAAGCTAATAACTGATGACATCAAGAAGGCCGAGGTGTTTAATGCCTGCTTTGCTGCAGTCTTCACTAAACAGCTTAAATGATGATCAGATACTCAACAGAATTAATATTAACAAGGGGAAAGGAATGCAAGCCAAAATCGGGAAAGAACAGGTTAAGGAATCTTTAGTTAAGTTAAAATGTATTCATGTCAGCACAGCCTGATGAAATTCATCCTAGGGCACTTATAGAAGTGGTTGACGCAATCTTGGAGCCATTAGCAATTATCTTTGAGAACACATGGACAACAGGTGAAGTCCCAGAGGGCAGGAGAAGGGCAAACATAGTACCTGTGGTTAAAACGGGGGACAAAGAGGACCTGAGAAATACACACCAGTCAGACTTACTTCAATCCCTGGAAAGATAATGGAACAAATTACTCAGAAATCAATTTGTAAGCTCCTAGGGGATAACGGAGTTATAAGGAATAGCCAGCATAGAGTTGTCAAGAAGAAATCATGCCAGACCAACCTAATTGCCTTCTTAGACAGGGTTATGGCCTAGTGGAAGGGGGAAGCAGTAGACGTGATGTACCTTCACTTTTAGTTAGGCTTTTGACCCAGTCCCACATGACAGACATTCTCGTAAGCAAACTAGGGAAATGTGGTCTAGATGAAATTACTATATGGTGGGTGCACAACTGGTTGAAAGACTGTACGCAAAGAGTAGTTATCAATGGTACATTGTCAAAGTGGGAGGACATATCTAATGGGTTCATGCAGGAGTCAGTCCTGGGTTGGGTACTATTCAATAGTCTCATTAATGACTTGGATAATGGAGTTCAGAGGACGCTTATAAAATTTGTAGATGACATCAAGCTAGGAGGGGTTGCAAGCACTTTGGAGGCTAGGATTGGAATTTGAGACGACCTTGACAAATTGGAGAATTGGTCTGAAATCAACAGATGAAATTAAATAAAGACAGGTGCAAATTATTGCTCTTAGAAAGGGAAAAAATCAAATGCTCAACTACAAAGTGGGAAACAGGCAGGAAGGAAAGGATCTGGGAGTTATAGAGGATCACAAACTGAATATAAATCAACAATGTGATGCTGGTGTGAAAAAGGTTAATATCAGTCTGGGGTGTATTAACAGGAGTGTTGCATGTAAGCCACAGGAGGTAACTGTCCCGCTCTACTCAGCACTGGTGAGGCCTCAGCTGGAGTTCTGTGTCCTGTTCCAGGCATTGCACTTTAGGAAAGAAGGGGACAAACTGGAGAGAGTCCACAGGAGAACAACAGAATTAAAAAAGGTTTGGAAAACCTGACCTACAAGGAAAGGTTAAAACCTAGGCATGTTTAGTCTTGAGAAAAGATGACTGAAGGGGGACCTAAGAACAGTCTTCAAATGTGTTAAGGGCTGTTACAAAGAGGATGGTGATCATCTGTTCTCCTGTCCACTCAAGGTAGGACAAGAAGTAATGGGCTTAGTCAGCAGCCTGGGAGCTTTAGGCAATAGGGAAAACTTTTAGCTACGAGGGCAGTTGGGCTCTGGAACAGGTTTCCACGGGAGGTTGTGGAATCCCCGTCACTGGAGGTTTTAAGAACCAGTAGGACAAACACCTGCCAGGGATGGTCTAGGAGGTTTATGTGGCCTTGCCTTGGTGCAGGGGGCTAGAATTCATGAAGACTTAAGGTCCCGTCCAGCCCGACATTTCTATGATTCTGTGGCCTGCAGGGATCCGCAAGGCCTGGGCTGAATGCATCCCCAAGCTAGCAGCTCTGCACAGACACGGCACAGCACAGAGGGACAGCCCCAGCCTGGGCTGAACACAGCTCTGCACAAGTGTGTAATGGGCACAGTGGAGGGACCAACTGCCGCACACTGGTCTGCCCCACCAGTCTAGACACGGTCGGTACCGACCTTGGCACTAGTCCAGAACAGGCAGCCCAGCCTCCCGACTTCCATTCCGAGGGTACCAGACCCCCCCAACACCTGCTGTTCTAACAAACCCTCCTGACTCACGAGGGGAGGGGCAGCCTTCGGCGAGCTCAGCGCCCATCCTGCTCCAACAGGCTGGGATGGCAGCAGCAGTTTGCCACAGCCCTGTCCCCAGAGAGCCCTCTGCTATAGCCATTGAATGACACAGCCTCCTTGTGCCCCTGAGATCACCAGTGCACCTCCTGGTGGGGGAGCAGGAGGGGCCCGGGACCAGCCACTCTGCCCGGGAGCTCCCTCACTACCACTCCAGCCCCCGGGCTCCACAGGACCACCTGAGCGAAGGGAGCCACTTGCCTTGGAGTCCCCGATGAGTGCGATGCCGATGGACAGCTTGCGTTTCATGCCCCCGGACAAGGCCTTTGACAGAGAGCAGCGCTTCTCCTCCAGGTTCAGCAGCCTCACGATACGGTCTATCTCCTCCGGGCACTTCAGCGAGGGGTAGCCCTTCAGCTGGCAGGCAAGACGAAAGAAGGGTTAACAGTTAAGAAAGCAAACCCAGCAGGGAGGAACCTGCCCCCTGCCCCATACTGACACAAGATATGAGGAAAGCCCCTATGCAAGGGGCCTTGTTCACTCCGCTCCTGGTGTAAGGACATGTCCCATGCTCCCTCTCTACCCATGCTTCTGCATTAACCAGGAACGCAAAGTCAGGAGAAGGAGAAGAAGTTAACCACTCAGCTCCTGCCACAGAGTGAATTCTTTCCTGCAGCAACCCAGTCTCCAGCCCAGTCACACCCCGCCCCCAGCGGGCTGGGAAATGGGACTGCGAGATGCCTCAGTGGGAGACCATCCTTAGAGCCGCTCCACTCTAAGATAAACTGGATGGAATAAGCTACTCAAACCAAAGACAGTGCTTCTGCAGGGTTTGCACCTGTTCAATCAAACCAGCTGCAAGCTGGCATGTAGATAACCCCAGTATGGATAGAAAATTAAAGGATAAACATTACTTTCTATTATTCGTATGAAAAGTATAAACATCAGTGTTTAGTGCAGGGTGCACGCAGGAGTAACATGGCGCTACACTACGGACTGCAGCTGCTGTGCCCAGCCCAGAGCTTCAGGTCACCATTCTGCAGGCACAGCCGGACCCCCGGCCTCTTCCCTCCCAGGATGCCACACGTCCTCCGCTCACCGCAGAGTAGAAGTACAGGTGCTCCGCCACGGTCATGTTGTCAAACAGAACATCGTGCTGGGGACACAGACCCAGACTCCTTCGGATCAGAACCATGTCCTGGGAGATCTCATAGCCGCTGATGTAAGCCTGGCCGCTCGTGGGAGGATACAGACCTAGGAGGTGGCAATAACCACATGTGGGTAAGAGCAGTGAGGTGCCAGGGCCCAGTCTCCTCCCAGCCCGCACTGGAGAACCTCAGCTCCCAAGCCCTGTGGCTTCCCACACCCCTCACCCTAGGCTGACTAACCTTCACTTTAGCCACTGTGCTTCGAAGAACTGAATGGGGCTCCCCTTAGAGCCACTCTGTACCACCCCTTAATTAGTTTCTTCCCTTTACCCTGATGGAGCTGATTTCACAGAGCTCCCAGAATGGCCTGAGTAGGGAGAGAGATGGGTGGGGATGTGAACATGTCTGCCATGCAGCAGTGCACAGCACCTGCCACTACACCACTGTCCCACACTGCCTGAAATCCCCTTCAAAGACAAAGGAAGTCTCGGTCCTGGCTTGGCTGCATAGCCTTGTTCAGCCAGCAAAGCGCTCTGCTGTAGGGAGAGGCACAACTCACTGCAGGGGCCAGGAATTCACCTCTCCCTTTGCACAATTGGCAGAGGTTCTGCTGTCCTCTGATACATCAGCTCTTGGCTGCTACAGGAGGCAGGATACCAGACTGGCTGAACCAATGGTCTGATCTGGCCTCGCAAGTCCTATGTCCCACACACTGCTGAGAGCCACATGAAGGTTGGGCCAACCCGCGGGATTCAGCCATCAAGCAAGAGAGCCTGATGAGATTCCCACATTTCATCTTCCGATCCTTGGGCCAGCAGAGGCAGCGCGCTAGGCCCCATGAGGAGGAGGAGGTACGGGCCATGTGTCACCCCACAGCTCCTTGAATTGTCAAGAGCCCTTCATTTCCAGATAGCCATTTGCTATGCAATAGCAATGGTCTATCGTTCTGTGGCATGCACCAAGGCGTTGCACAGGAAAACGAGGTGGTGTGTGGAAGCAGGGTGTTCAAAGGAACAGGCCAGGACAAAGTACAACAGCTCACCTATTTGTAACAGGACAGACACCGGAGAAGTGCACAGAACAACTTTTAGACTTCAAACAGGCTTTTGATAGCACTTAGCAGCAAGGGGCAAGGCAAGTTAGGAGAACGTATGGCACCCCAGAGAAACTGATCAAGCTGAGAGAAAACATCCACAGCAAGTTGCTGAGAGTGGTGAGAGTCGCCAAAAGGAGCGGTTCAGGATGACCATAGGAGGGAGAGAAGGGCCCATGCTAATCGGCAGGTTTGTTCCACTTGGTACTGGAAGCAGTATGGGCTGTAGCACTGAGAGAAGTCACGTTATATGGGAGGACAGAGAACAACGCACAGACAATATTGCTCCCCTCCCCCACCAGCACTGACCAAGGAAGATTTACAAAGAATAGCTGACAAGGCGACAGGGAAAGTAGAAAATTTGGACAGAAGATCAGTATGGAGAAGACAAATAATACGGCAACTGGAAGGCAGGAGGAAAAAGGTAAAGATCAGAGAAAAAGGACTAGAACACGCGGGAAATCTTGTGTGCCTTGGAGGACTAGGCGTGGAGAATGGGAATTGTTACAAGGACACAAAAAGACTTGGACTAACGGCTACTGTATTCAGAAAACTGCAAGATCTGGAAGGCTAAACACATTTTGATGAACAAGGAAATTGGCACGTATGCGATGACTGTCAGGCCGCCACTACCGTGTGGGTTGGAATGCTGGGGTCTGAGGAAAGCTGACGAACACGATTTTGTCTTCAGAAATGAACTGGCTGAGGGGAATGCTGAGAGCGTGGAGGCCCCAGAAAATTAAAAATGCAGTGATAAGAAAACGTAGAGGGCAAGGAATAACGCTGTTACAGAGAGTTCAAGAAAGACCACTGCGATCGTGCCGATGTGTCGCAGATGGACTTGAAACGGACACCGCGTAGCGTGATACATACCAGGGCGTAAAGGACTCGGAACAGAGGGAGACTGAGGATGCATTGGATAGACACAGTGAAGAATGACCCAAACCAAAAAGCTTTAAGGATGAACGAAACCGGTACGAGGTAGAAAGCAGTGAAAAGATTTCATTCGGCTGGCGGACGGGAACCAAAGAAGAGGAGGAGTAGACTGCGCTGCAGCAGTCACAGGATGCTGCTCTGGGGATGGATCAGACACCAGGAGACAGCCCAGGCACCTCAGCAGACGGTTATGGCTTCAGATGCTCCAAAGCAAGATACAACCCTGCACCAGGAAATGCGCTGTCACCTGAGCACTCTCAGCCGTATCCCCCGTGCTGCAGCGCGCCTGCCCCGAGATGGCCTGGGGTGTGGCGGCTGTACCTGTGAGCATGGACAGGGTGGTTGTCTTCCCGGCACCGTTGTGTCCCAGAAGGACAGTGATCTGCCCCTCATACATGTTCAGGGTCAAGTTCCTTACTGCCTCCTTGGTCTTGCTCCCCACTTTGAACACCTGCAGAAGCAGAGAGAGAAGCCGAGTGTTAGAAGGAAACACACATTCATCTCGCCCACCCATTGCACCCTTCATCCCACAGCACGTACCACCTCCTGATGAGGCCACCTCACGTCTTAGGAGACCACCCCTAACTGTGTCCAAGCAGAGCAATTTCAAATCTACAACATTATGCAGCCAGTGTACGCTGATCCCTCGAGTGGCTATATTAAAATGTTGGGTTTCTCCATATGCATAGACAGATTGTTTTACCCCATTGCAAAAATGCTACCACCTATGGCGTGAGCCTTGGCTACTGTTTAACAATGCCCAGCAATACTCTACTCAGGAAGATGGCAGCCTATTGAAATGGGAGCTATGATAAGGCAGTTTTTAAAATATAAGAGAGGGCATTTCAGACCCCTGGGAAAGGACAGGTGTGCCCCAAATTCCCTCCCCCCAAGCCCGTGTCACAACCACCAGCCTGTAGGCAGATGTCTTTTCAGCACCCATCAGTGCCATGCCATCAGCTACAGGGATCTGGTGTAGATCAACACTTCCTGTCCCTCCTCAGCACGCGTAGCCGGACAATCAGCAAGAGCCTGGGAAGCCAACCCAGTCCATTGTTTAAAAGCCCAAAGCCTGTGTAACGAGGCTGTTTACACAGCAGCTTGCACATCATGCACAGAGCTGGACGACTGGCAATCCCGGCCAAACACACAGTTCAAATTTCTGCATGGACAGTACAGAACAGGGTGTGGTTCCTAGGGTGGGGACGGTTTACCAGCAGGTGATTGCAGAAGGGGAGGAAAGGAGGAAGCTAGCTCAGTATTTGTTAATTGATGCATCAGGCATAGGGGGAGCACGATGTCAGGAGAGGGCAAAAGGAAGGACTTCTCAGTGCAACGGGATGCATGCCCACTAGGAGCTCAGTGCCCGTAGCTAGCATGGCAATAGCCCATCTCCATAGCAGCACAGGACCCACTGAATGCCAGGAGGGGTTTTTTGCATGCATGGCTGTTGCAGCTACACCCCAGCCTTCATGCTCTTTTTTGACAGAGGAGTTGTGTGCAGCCCTGTACTCTGTTGCCACTGCTCCAGGTAGGGGAAGGGAATGAGTCTGAAGCACCAGGAGCCCCGCTGAGGTCTTCCAGGGACTCCGGTCTTCAGAGCATTGTAACAAACCCTTTAGTCCAGGGGGTCTCAAACTCAAATGACCATGAGGGCCATATGAGGACTAGTACATTGGCCCGAGGGCCGCACCGCTGACCACCCCCCCGCCCACTGCCACTGCCCCGGCCCTGCCCCCGTCCCACCCCTTCCCCACCTCTTCCCTGCCCCCATTTCAACCCCTTCCCTGAAATCTCCACCCCAACTCCGCCCCCTCTCTGCCCCCAGGGGGTACAGGAAGGGTACAGGGTGCAGCAGGGGGCTCAGGGCAGGGGGTTCGGCTGCAGGAGGGGTTCGGGGGGCGGGTCTGGCCCAGCATGCACTGGGGGCAGGGCAGGCTCCCTGCCTGCCTGCCCTGCCCCCATGCCGCTCCCAGAAGCGGCCGGGACCTGGGGGGGCACAGGGGTCTGTGTATTGCCCTGGCTGCTCCTCCCGGTACCGCCTCCAAAGCGCCCATTGGTGGCCGATGGGAGCTTCGGGGAGGTACCTGGAGGAGCGGCCAGGGCAACACACAGCCCCTTGTGCCCCCCCCCGCCCCAGGTCCTGGCCGCTGCCCCCGGTGCATGCCGGGCCAGAGCCACTCTAGGTAAATGCTGAGGGGGGGTGTGTGCCACGGGGAGCTGGGGGGCTGCAGAAAATAACCCTGCGGGCCGCGTGTTTGAGACCCCTGCTTTAGTCATTTCGTGCAATCCCCATGGCTCGTGAAAGTGACAGACTCCAAATAGTTAGCCCTGGTCTATACGTAAAATGTAGATCAACCGAGGTATATCACTCAGGGGTGTGAATTAAGTGCTGTAGTTAACCTAAACTAACTCCCAATCTAGCCACAGCCAGGTCGATGAACGAATTCTTCCACCAACCTAGCCACTGCTGCCTGGGGAGGTGGGTTACCGACACGAATGGAAAAACCCCTTCCATCGGCAAAGGAAGCATCTACTCTACAGTGCTTTCGCCCGTAGTGCAGATATATTCCTAGCGGCTGCTGTGGGGGGTGAGGGGGAAGGGAGGGAAAGAGAGCCGAGTCACCCCACCCTGAGCATTGCCACTTGCTATTCTTGTCTGAAATTGCATGACCCATGCCAGCACGGATCTATGTGGTGCTTGACTCTTCCTGCTGGTGGGATCTCTACTGCTTGCTCCAAAAGACCTGCAACGTGTTGCTGTCAGATTGTCCCTGCTTGCTGGGCAGGGGCTGGTCTGGGGGACTTTACCTTGGAAAGGTGCTTTATTTTGATCCCTGATACCAGATCGGCAGGCTCTTCCTCAATGTACTGGCTTTTCAGTGCCTTCTCCGGGTCCTCCTCTTCCTCCTTCTCTTTCCCCAGGACGGTTCTGGGAGTCCTGCACCAGTACGAGGGCTAAGAGGAGAGACAGAGAGAGAGGATAGCCCAGCTGCCACACAGCAACCTTCCCTCCCGCCAACCAGCATAGCCCAGATGGGATTTGGTCTGACACAGCTCACGCCGATACATCCCACACATGGAGCCGTACAGAGCACCGACAAAGAGACACGTCCTATAGACACAATTCAGACAGGCTTTAGAAATACTCCCCCTTTCAAATCAGCACTTTGTGGGATCCGGCTAGGAATGGAGAGTCTCCAACACAACAGAAGCTGAGGGTGCCCAGCGCCTCCCAGGATCAGGTTCCTGGGCCATGAAATCCCCTCTCTTCCCACCCCAAAGGGGAGCCCCCTGATTATCTCAAGACTCCCAGGGGAGCCTCAGACTCTACTGACAGCCGTTTCCAAAAGAAAAGGCATCAGGAGAATTAATTCACTCCTCCACTGATGCACTCTAGCTTCCAAGAAGACAGTTTTAGTGCTTTGTCATTAAAAAGTAGAGCACTGACAGTAGATCAAAAACTGGCTGAAAGCTCTTGCCCTTACGTGCTGGTCCTTCTGCTTCTAGCCAGAAATCCTTCACTGACGCTACGCATCCTCATCATGTAGGTAGTCGTTCTCATAGCGCTCATCGTTATGGAGATGACAGCAGCACAAGGTCCCCAGGCACCACCCACCTAGCATGATATTGGCCAAGGAATGTACCAAGTGGGACACTGGCTCCCCAAGGCAGGGGGTTGGGCCAATGAGAGTGGAGGGGGGTAATCGGGACTGCTCAGAGGGCTGTCACCTACTCTTCAAATCTCCCACTGCCCCCATCCTCCCCGCCCACGCAGCATTTTCAAACGCATTAAGTGAAAGGAGCCATGAACTTCCACTATTCAGAGGCTGCAATCACTCTAATCATTGGGGGAGCCATGCTCTCAGGAGTGAGAGGGCCACTCATGTCTTAGCTGGAAGGAGGGGCCTGACTTCACTCCTGTATTTGGCTCTCCTGCCTGCTACACAATCCTCTGCCTGCCACACGAGTGGGCCTGACCCATTCCATGCTGTAGGGGAAAGTGTCAAAAGTCATCGCATCAGGTTACTATTTCCTGATCTGAAGGGTCTTGGCACTCCCTGTGCTTTCCAGCAGTCTGCAGACCAACCTGCCAAGCAGAGAACTGGCTCCCGAGCCCCACACAGGTATCCTAGCGGAATGCGCTCGGCTCTGTGTGCTCCCACCTGCCCTACAGAGCCAGGCACTGAAATGAAAGCATGCTGGGATATGGATTTGGGGGCAAAAGAAAACACCACCGTGTGACGGCCCATGCTCGGTGGCCCTGTACCACCTGCTCTTGTACGGAGCTCAGTTTCTGCCAGGTTTCAAACCCTAAGATCTAGTCACTTACATGGCTGCTCTCTGAGCCTTAACGCAGGTGTTTGGGGTGTGGTGGCATGACTCACAGCATCACATGTGCCAATAAACCCCAGCCCAAAGATCTGAAGCCAAGACCTGGAAAGCGCATTTCATTCTCAGTGCAAGGCTCTTCAGATAAGGCAGCACAGGGCTTTGGTTGTCAAGTATGGGGCACAGATGCTGAAACTAAGCCCAGAAGAGATCATTGCAATCGTTTTAGTCTGACCTCCTGTATAACACAGGGCAGAGTATTCCTATTTAAGCCCCGTTATACTAAACATGCAGGGTGTGAGAGCAGAATCCCTGCATTTCATCTCAGACATTGCCAGCGATGGAGCGCACAGTAGCGGTGCTCACCATCAAGAAGAAGTACCATGGCTGCGGCATGCCATACTCCCCTGGGAAGACGGCCTCCACGTACCAGGCCACCAGGCCATAGAGGACAGAGTCCAACAGCAGCATCCCCAGCACCTGTGCAAAGGTGAAGTTATCATCCACGCTGACTGGCTTCATGAGGTCCTGCCACTGAACGCCGGTCCCTGAAAACACATAAGATGGCGTTTGCATCTGCCAACGTGCAGCTACAGTCAGTAACACATCGTAACACCTCACCCGCAGGCTGGGAGAATATACACAGTGGTGCACGTTCTCCGGGACTGTGAAATAAGGTATCACAATACAAGTTGGCTGCTAGCACACTGTGCACGCATTTGTGGCAGGCAGGGGGATAGAAAACACATCTGAAAGCAAGACACGATAAATATGTTTAGCACATGCCTGTAACTTATTGTCTGGATTTAATTTACAAAGATCTGCAAAAATATGTTGGCTAAATACCCAAGTTACTACATAACCTTTTTCTCAGCAGCCTTGTTCTGTTCCCACCCCCGAGTATGGCTTCAAAAACTCCACCTGCACTAGGAATCAAATCATTGCTAAAAACATTATTCTAGAACAGGACCCCCGAGCTGGCAAAGAAAACATTCAGTGCTAGTGTAGATCAGTCCACCCAGCCTCAGTGCCGTGTCCACACTGAAGACATGTACCATTTGGTCTGCCTAACATGCTTGTAAAACCCCTTGTGTCCCCTTAGGAGTGCTTTGAACAGCATCCCTGCCAAATACCGCTTGGGTTAGTGTAATCTTCACGTCAGTCTGCACCATTTCCCATCTGGGCTCCCACATGGCCTCCACTGTAGTGTCTAAGCACCTCTCATACATTAGAAATTATAGCCCATGGCACCCTTGCCAGGTACAAATGTACAGTCAATCCCCATGTTACAGATGGGGAACCGAGGCACAGATAGGGAAAGTGACAGGAGCTGAACTCGGATCTCCTGATTCCCAAATGGGGCCCTTGATCACAAACCATCCACCCTCTTTTGCACCTTCTGACACTGTACCAAGGAGAGTGATTTGTGTCTTCTCCCCTAAAAATACTACCCATGTCTCAATCTCCCGCTTAGTGTCATCAATTCGCAAAGAGACAGACTGCTTATTAACATGGAAATTAGCAGGGGAAAGATGATCTGGATGCAATTAACGTCAGAAATTACATTCCGCAGAGTAGTATTAACTTTGTAATTAACAAAAGCAAAACCACAGAAGAATCCTAGCTTTGCTGGCCAGATCCAATTTGGACATGAGGTGCTTCCAACAAACTGAAGGCAGCTCCTTCAGAGAGGTATCAGTTATCCAGAATCTCGAAGCCAGTAAGTGTGTGCATTGACAGATCCCCTCCTTTGGATTAGCAAGCCAAGAACTGACTCCTGCTCTCACTTATGCCAATGGCAAGACTCCTTCAATGGTACAGGATCAGAGTCAAGTCTCACGGTTCAAAAAAGGAGGCCAGATTAGAGCCTGACTTTTCAGTCTGGCATCAGAGTGCTTAACATCCCCAGTCCTGGAACTCTAGAGCTCAGGGCACGTCTCCAGGCTGACTTCCGGGTGCTTGGCTTCCCCAGCTGGGCCTGCACATTACTACAGCAGTGAGAGAGAGAAAATCACTCACCTTTTCCTTCAAACATGCCTATCAGCTGTGCCCCCATGGCCATGGCAACATTGGAGATGAGGCAGGACGACAGTTTCTGACTGTGGGACATCAGGTCGTAGCGAGGCGAGATAAAGAAGTAGGGGATATAGGAGAAAAAGTACAGGAAACCCCCAGCGGCAGCTGCCACATTTGCTGCAAGTGCAGAGAAGGGGGGGAAAAAAGAAAACAAATGTTCAACAGTGTGGTGACAAACACAAATGGATACTGACACTGCACACTTCTCTAGAGCTTCCATCCAAGTAGATTTAAGTACTTGGCAAAGGCGGGTGTTATCTCCATGAAGACGATGGGGAAACAGGCACACAGCGATTGAATGATTGGCCCAGGCCAAACAGTAGGTCAGAGGCTGAGTTGGGACTAGAGGAGAGTCTCCCAACTTCCCTGCACTAACTATCATAGAAGATTAGGATTGGAAGAAACCTCGAGGGCATCTAGTCCAACCCCCTGCTCAAAGCAGGACCAACCCCAACTAAATCATCCAAGCCAGGGCTATGTCAAGCTGGGCCTTAAAAATCTGTAAGGATGGAGATTCCACCACCTCTCTAGGTAACCCATTCCAGTGCTTCACCACCCTCCTAGTGAAATAGTGTTTCCTAATATCCAACCTAGACCTCCCCCACTGCAACTTGAGACCATTGCTCCTTGTTCGGTCATCTCCCAACACTGAGAACAGCCAAGCTCCATCCCCCTTGGAACCCCCTTCAGGTAGTTGAAGGCTGCTATCAAATCCTCCCTCACTCTTCTCTTTTGCAGACTAAACACGCCCAGTTCCCTCAGCCTCTCCTCGTAAGTCATGTGCCCCAGGCCCCTAATCATTTTCATTGCCCTCTGCTGGACTCTCTCCAATTTGTCCACATCCGTTCTGTAGTGGGGGGACCAAAACTGGACGCAATAGTCCAGATGTGGCCTCACCAGTGCCGAATAGAGGGGAATAATCACTTCCCTCGATCTGCTGGCAATGCTCCTACTAATGCAGCCCAATAGGCCGTTGGCCATCTTGACAACAAGGGCACACTGTTGACTCATATCCAGCTTCTCATCCACTGTAATCCCCAGACCCTTTTCTGCAGAACTGCTGCTTAGCCAGTCGGTCCCCAGCCTGTAGCGGTACATGGGATTCTTCCATCCTAAGTGCAGACTCTGCATTGTTCTTGTTGAACCTCATCAGATTTCTTTTGGCCCAATCCTCTAATTTGTCTAGGTCCCTCTGGACCCTATCCCTCCGCTCCAGCGTATCTACCACTCCTCCCAGCTTAGTGTCATCTGCAAACTTGCTGAGGGTGCAATCCACACCATCCTCCAGATCATGAATATCAGGCTGCACCATGCCGTTTCAGCAGGCTCTGGGAGATCTTACGGCATGTGTTGGCCCAGTTTGGAAAGGTTTGACATATAAGCTTCCCATGCACCACAGCTTTTAATAATAGTGGTGAAAGGGGATGTGCACTGACAGCCCTTACTGAGCATCAAACCGGACAGCCCAAGTGACTGCACGCCCCCTGCACAGCCTACCAGTAATGAGAACATGCTTTGGAGCCCTTCCCAGCATCCTACCATACAGAGTGCGGCAGCCAAGGACACCTGCAGCCTCCCAAACTGAAGCCACTGCTCAGTGCACATCTGCGGAGGAGAGCAGGCTTGGTTTTGTAAGTCACACCAGGAGACAGAAGAAACCAAACCCTTCCTCCACCAGATGAGTCCTGCCCTTACCAGGTGGGAGGAGCATCAGCAATTCAACACACAGACCCTTCCCATTCGAAAGAGGGATGTTTACAAGCCACAACACTGACACAGATCCCATAGGGAAGAGCTTCTCCTACTGGGTTGTTTCAGAACAAACTGCTCCCTGGGTGTCCTGTGGAAAACTGCTGGAGGGGCTGATGGAATATTTGCCTGAATTCTTCACCCAGCACAAAAATCCAGAGCAACAGCTTCTCTAGCCTGGCTAGAGGTCACCTTCCCACTTGGATTGTTCCCTATACAACAGGAATAAGAGCCATTAGGAGACCAAACAATGGACAAGTGAGACCAGCAGGTATTTCCATTGCAGTTATTGGCCTAGAGGAATGCACCTGCTCTGCTGGTTTTATGGCACACTGCTCATCCCTCTGTCCCCAGCGCGCTCGTGCTTAATGCCCAGTGCCAAATGGACAACTGCGCAAAGGTCCCACAACAATCAAACCTTCAGATGGCTCCCCTGGTAGAGCATCAAACTCTCTGTAAAGCACGGGCCACAACAGTCCTACACAAATAAAGCTTGCTGCCTTCCAAGGCTGGAGGCACTAGGTTAGAGGCAGGATTTCATTCCTTTAGTCACTAGCCAGGGGCCACCCAAGTTCCATTCGGGAGGATACCAGGAAAAAGCCAGGAATTCTAGTCAAATCCCCTGCCCACTCACAAGCAACCAACAGCCCTTTGCTGAGGAAGAGGGGCAAGTCACCCCTTTTTTCCCCACAAAGTGCCCACACAGCAAGGGGCATTCAGAGGAGCTAGCCCAACACTGTGATATTTAGCCCCAAAGAACAACCAGTGCTCATGAGTGCTGTCGAAACTAGTCCAGCCCCTGCCCCTTCCACCACATGGTGAAGAGAAACTGCAAAGATGGAGCTGTGGGGCTCTGTATTTATTGGCTCTCAGTGGCTCCTATAGCAAATCTGCTCTGTTTATAAGTAACAACTTGGCTCTGCAAGGTCCATAGGATCTGAGAGTCAAGCTGGGCTCTTTCCTTCGCACACATCCCCACTGGTAATAAAGGTTCCGCAGGACAAAACCCCTTAGTGACACCTATGCAGCTCCCCGCATCTTCCAAGGTTTAACCGATTGCCACTTGGTATATCATTCTGTTGATCATTCTCAAGGCAGATCAGACTCTAGGTGACTCTCCCAGAGCTGGTCTGGCTCTGCTGGGCTAATGGGAAGATCTTAGTAAAGTCGGCAGCTAGGATCCACACGGGGAGAGGATACGGTGCCATTTCTATATGGGTGTCCATGTTCCAGAGCCAAAGCAGCCTCTTTGACAAACAGCATGAAAGGTTAACAGTATGGGCTCACCTCTGGAGAAGAAGGTGCTGACCATGAAGCTGAAGGAGATGGAGGAGATGGAGAAGACCACCAGGAAGGTGAACACCAGGGTTGGGTCACTGTTGGCGAGTACCGCCCCCTGCTGGCTTACCTACAAACAAAATCCAGGTCATGAGTACTGTTACCCACATGGACACATCTTGCCTGGGAACTGGGACCTGCAATCCTCATGGTGCAGATGGAGGCACAGAATGGGCTCAGTGGTCAAGAGAGATAAAGAAACTGTGTTTAAGATACCAAAAAGAGCTTTCTACCCTACAGTCTGTACCACTGCACTGAGCGTGAGTTATAAGCTGTGATTATCCTACTGTAGACCAGGCTCTAACGAAGAGTGGCCTTTATGCCCCCAACACTGCAAGGACTCCTGTAGGCTAACCACTGGAATGGCCAGACTGGATCAGACCCGTGGTCCCTCCAGTACAGCACCCATGTTTCTGACCGGCCAGCACCAGCTGCTCCAGCGGAAGGCAGAGGAAACCCTTCCCCAGCAGTTCTGGGATAGCCTGCCCATGAGGGAAGTTCCCTCCCATTGGTTAAGGCTGCATACAACCTGAAGCAGGAGGGTTTAGATCACTTCAAAAACCCTGCGTGATTGAATCCTTTAATAATCAGATGTTCCTGCTAACCATACGAATGTCCCATCCCTTTCTGAATCCTGCTAAGCTGTTGGCCTCAATGATACCCTGTGGCATATCACAGGCTGTATGAAAAGCAAGCTATGCTGTCTGCAGAGGGGGATTCAAACATTTACAAAATCGAATGCAGCAAAGGCCCAGCCTGAAGTAGCAAAATGAACTTCCCCATTCCGAGAAGGGGCAGGCACCCCCCTTACCAGCAATATTGACTTCGAAGTCTTACCCCACAGCTGCCCCTTTCCCCCTGGTTTGGGATAGTGAAGAGAAAAGCTGCCTGGATCGAAGGAGTGGAGAGCGGTGGGGAAATATAATTCAGCAGCATCTTTGAGTCTAAGGGCCTAGGACAGCGCCCTCCACCTGCAATCTAAAGCCACCTGAAGATGTCTGTCCATGCAAGAAAGCTACCAGCTCCCCCACCGCCATCCCCAGGGTGGTTCTGACATATACCTTGGAAGCCTGAGCCAGGACACTCACCTTGACACAGAAAAGCACCGTGACGAAGAAGATGGACACCAGGAGGAAGAGGAAGAACATGAGGAACCAGGCGCTCCAGTGCAGCCAGTTACTGAGGCCCATCATTCGCATGTACTCCTGTGGGAGGCCAACACAAGCTGCGCATTACCCTGTGCCATGGCAGCCAGCCGCTGGCAGGCAGGCAGGCAGACAGCTGCCTGCTGAGAGCACCACGATCGGATTTTCCATAGTGGGACAGAAAGAGGTGGCTGATGAGAACCGGGCACCATGTGCTAGAACCAGGCCCAATGTGGGCAAGCACCGTGCAGCTGTCACCCATGTGCAGTTCTATTTTAAATCCTAGCCTGTCTCTGAGCAACCACCACCAGTGACTCTGGATGACACAGGGGTCACGCTGGGGTGGCAAGAAGAGCAAGGTTCCCCGGGAGTACTGGGTGGAGACCCAAACCCATTTGGATAGAGGATAAGGCCAGAAGGGACCATAGAATTATCTGGTCTGACCTCCTGCACAACCCAAGAAAAATCTCACCAACCAAAGAGGAACTGAACCCTGGACCCTCAGAGTAACAATCTGATGCTCTAGTGACTGAGTTACCTGAGCTCATGGTTGCCTAGACACCAGTCTCTTGATATGAAACAATGCATCGTGCCCAGACGCTAAAGAACTCCCCCCCGCAACAAACCTCACTATGCCCCCAAGCCACCAGAACTCACAACTGTTTCTATCTCCTCCAGAACCACACTTTAGGCATCAGACTCAGACGCAAGACAGCAACCCGCCTGCCACTGCCACCAGATCTAAGAGCCTCGCCAAACAGACAAAGCTGCGCGGCAAGGCGGCAGAGCTGAATTCCTGCAGCAGGATCAGCTACCTTCCTCCTTGGAATTCACTAGCCCTCCACAAACCCGCTTTCCTAGCAAGAGTGGGATTTTGTTTACAATTCAGCAGCTTAAAACCTTTAGAACGTATCTGGCATGGGTAAGCTAAGCAGTTAATGCAGAGTTATCTGTGCCTGTGCTTAGAGACCGAGCCCAAACTGATCACAGGCTTTTTAATCCTTCCAATGAGATTGCACTGCATGAAGCTAAGCAAGGCTCTTGCCATTAGTTGTTTTTCCTCCAGGGCTATTTTTTGACATCTCCTTTTGCACACCATTTTCCGCCCACTCCCTCGCTTCCCCATCCCTCTCCTCTCCCTTGTTCCACCAGACTCCAGCCCATGTGGAGTGCTCAGGTCTCCCTCCACAGCCCAGGACAGCATAGTTTCCCCTTGTGTTCTCCTCACAGCTGGCTACCAGGGGCACAGACAAGCAGCCTCCTCCAAGGTGCAGGGCCAGGCTGCTGGGGCAAGCTGGCCAGCAGAGCAGAGCGACCTTGCCGGCTCACCTTCCCAATACGCTCCCCTCCCACCGCACGGGAACATCAGGTGACCACTCAAGCGCCATTCCGTCTTGGAAGCCACGGTGCTGATCTCCCCCAGACTCGAACGCTCTGGCAACAGCGCACAGTGTCACTGCCGCAGCAGCAGCTCAGCCTGCCAGGAAGCCAACAGTGCCCTGGCCATCTGCCTGGCGTTTACCTTCAACTTTTTCTCCTTCTCGTGCACAACGGCACGGACGATGTTGAGCGAGGTATAAGTGAAGCTCAGCATGAGCAGCAGGGGCAGCTGGTTCTGGATGGCCAGTAGGAAGAGGTCATTGACGTATGGGGGGTAGGGGAAGCGCCGAACGGTCACAGTGACCCCCTCCAGCAGGCGGGTGGTAGAGGTGTTGGCATGGTATTGCATGATGGCTCTGTCCACAGCATGCTGCACGGCCAGGAACCCTTCCCGGATGTAACCTGTGAGGAAGCACAGGGCGACGAGTGAGAGGCACTGCAGGAATGGGGCAGCCGGCTGCCCCAATAGGTGAATGCTTCCTGCCGGCAAATGGGTGCGCACTGTGTTATTTGTATTAGCATAATGACTGGGCGCCCAGACATGGAACTGGACCTGACGGTGCTAGGTGCTGTACAAACACACAACCTGCCCCAAAGAGCTTACACTCTAAACCAGGGGTGGGCAAACTACGGCTGGAGCACTGGAGGGGTGGCCAGCCAGCCGTTTTAAGCCAGCCCTTGAGCTCCCGCTGGGGAGCGGGGCTTGCCCTACTCTGGCTCTCCAGCCGGGGAGCAGGGTAGGGGGCCGCTCCACACGGCTTGTGGAAGCAGCCGCATGGCCCCGCTCCGGTGCTCCAGCCAGGGAGCAGGGTAGGGTGCAGCTCCCAGAAGCCGCGGCATGGCCCCCCTCCAGTGCTCCAGCTGGGAAGCAGGGTTGGGGGCCGCTCCACACGGAGCCTTCCCCCATGCCCCAATCCCCTGCCCTGATCCTCCTCCCGCCCTCGGAACCCCTCGCTCCAAGCCCGGAGCATTCTCCTGCACCCCAAACCCCTCATCCCCAGCCCCACCCCAAAGCCCACACCCCCAGTCACAGCCTGCACCCCTTCCCGCGCCCCAATCCCCTGCCCCAGCCCTGATCGCCCTCCCGCCCTCCGAACCCCTCGGTCCCAGCCCAAAGCACCCTCCTATTCCCCAAATTCCTCATCCCCAGCCCCACCCCAGAGTCCACATCCCCAGCTGAGTTTTTACTTCTTTCGATCTTAAAGGTTTTCTGTTGACCTCAGGGCACTAGTCGGAGACTCAGGAGACCCAGGTTTGATTCCTCACCCTGCATGACCCTGACCACCACTAAACTTCTCCAGGCCTCCATTCCCCATCCGTACAAAATGGGGATAATAGCACTGTCCTGCCTCACAGGAAAAATACATTAAAGATTGCCAGCTGCTCAGCTACTGCAGTGATGGGAAACATGTGAGCATCTTAGACAGGCTCTGCAGGACGAAGGACAGCAAAGAGGTAGAGATAAACCCCATGCCGTTTCTGCCGCTGCCCAATGGAAACAAAAGGGTGACTGAGGTGAAACTGGCTGGTAGAGGGACTAATTGATGCTAATTGGAACCCTGTCTGGAGAACGCTGCCTCCTTATGAAGCATAATGTGTCAGTGGACATACAGCCACTCCGTGCTGTGGAGCTCACAGTGCCCTCTTCCCAGCTTCAAAGTAACATACAAACCATTAGTTTGCTGAAGAGTTATCAGTGCAAAACCAAGTGAACACACACACACACACAGAGCCTTTAAGAAATGGCACTGATGGGCTCTGTAGGGAACTACACCCACATTCTCTGCCCCACTTGCAGGGACAGAAGCCATGGCCTTGCGGAAGGAGAGTGCCCCGACTCAGCCTGGCTAGTGATTTCAGGGGGAGAAGGACTGCTCCGAAAATCAGCTTTCATGCAGCTCCAGCTAACAGCATTTCATTACAGCTCTCGACGTGCCTCTGCACAGCCCAGAGAGTTGACCCCCAGGCAAGATACTGGAAAGCATTTACTTTTTGCTATCCTTGTGGTTTTAGCTGCAAGAGGCAGCATGGAAATCAGAGAGGAGCAAATGTAGCCAAGCTGGGGATACTGAACTCTCCCAGCACTGCATCACAACCACACATGGCACATTAAAGCACTGCTGTGGCAGCACTTTAGCGTTGCCAGCGTAAACTAGCCCTTACTGAACATCAACATAAATGGTCCAGTGAGCTTCTTGGCCAGCTCTTTTAAAACTCTTGGATGCAAGTTACCTGGGCCTGCTGATTTAAAAATGTCTAACTTTAGTAGATTTTTTGTTTTATACTTTGTGGTTCAATAGTCTGCAAGCCAGGGAGACTGTCCTCTCTAAAATAACCCAACTAGCCTCAAATACCTCATGCCTTTTCAGTACCTCTGCTCTAGTAAACTGGAACCACCTGGCAAATGTGCCGTCAGCGATCATCATGCGCTGGCAGACAAGCAGCTGGATGCAGACATTCCCTTATTCTCTGTAACAAGGGGCTGTAAGTTTTATTCCCTGGCTCAGACCTGGTAGGAGGAGATTTGGGCCTCTGATATACACAGGTGATTTCTGAGGCAAGGGGGTGACCAGATGTGCTGTGCTGCTCGGCACAATGGCTTCACTGTGCTCGTTCCATTTCTGTTTCCCTCTTGCTACACCACTGTACCTGCCATGTCTTGTACCTACACAGGTATGTGCCCCTCCCTAGTATGATGTATGTTGAAAGAGAATCACAGCTTTGTCCTTCATCACTGTGATAGTCTCTCCGTGCTGTTTCAGTGGTTTAACTCCACAACTGACTTAAAGTGGGGAGGTCAGCAACTCTTCTGGCGGTCCGCATAATAACAGTCCACGCTTTCCCAATGGAACTGGGGGGAGCCGTGCCTCTGCCCAGAACCAAATTGCAACGTGTGCAGCAATTCAGCCCAGCTCCCATCTTCGGGCAAGTTCAGTATCCCAAGCTTGGCTTTATTTGCTCCTCTCTGATTTCCATGCTGCCTCTCGCAGCCAAAACCACAAGGGTAGCGAAAAGTAAAGGCTTTCCAGTATCTCGCCTAGGGGCCAAAGCTCTGAGTGAGAAAGTTGCAGCTCTGTTAATTGCCAGTGCAGACAAGACCTTAGTCTTGGAACACAGAGAAAGTTCCAGAAGATTGCAAAAAAGCTATTGTGCCAGTACTTAAAAAGGATAAACGGGAAAACCCAGCTAACTATGGGCCTGTCAGTCTGACATCAATCCGAGGAAAGATAATGGAGTGAAAGATACAGGACCTGATTAATAAAGAATTAAAGGAGGATAATGTAATTAGTGCCAATTAATATGCATTTATAAAAAACAGTTCCTGTCAAATTAACTTGACTTTTTTAGGAGATTACAAGTTTGGTTGATAAAGGTGGCAGTAGTTTGATGTAATAGACTTCTGTAAGGCATTTGACTTATTACTGCGTGACATTTTGATTAAAAACTAGACAGATATAAAATGAACATGGCACACTTATATGGACTGAAGACTGGCTGGCTGGCAGGCCTCAAAATGTAACTGTAAATGGGGAATCAAACAAGTGTTTCTCTAGTGGGGTCCAGCAATCTGGATCACTTGGTAAACTGGGCTCAAGCAAACAATGTGCATTTTAATAGGATTAAATGTGAGTGTGTACATACAGGAACAATGAACGTAGGCCACATGTACAGGATGGGGAACTATCCCTGGAAGCAGGGACTCTGAAAAAGATTTGGGGGTCATGATGGATAATCAGCGGAACATCAGTGCCCAGTGCGATACTGTGGAGAAACGGGCTAATGCCATCCTGGGATCCATAAACAGGGGAATTTCCAGTAGGAGCAGAGAGGTTATTTGACCTCTGTATATGGCGCTGGTGCAACCACTGCTGGAATCCTGGGTCCAGTTCTGGGGCCCACAGTTCCAGAAGGATTTTAATAAATTGGAGAGGGGTCAGAGAAGAGCCATGAGAACGATTAAAGGATTAGAAAACCTGCCTTATAGTGATAGATAGAGCCCTTGAGTCTATTTAGCTTAACAAAGAGAAGGTTAAGGGGTGACTTGATCACAGTCTCTAAGTGCCTACATGGGGAATAAATATTTGATAATACGTGCTTCAGTCTAACAGAAAAAGCTATTACATGATTCAATGGCTGGAAGTTGAAGCTAGACAAATTCAGACAGGAAATAAGCTCTAAATTGTTAACAATGAGGGTAATTAACCATTGGAGCAATTTACCAAGGGTTGTGGTGGATTCTCCAGCACTGACAGTTTTTAAATGAAGATGGGATGTTTTTCTAAAAGCTCTGCTCTGGAAATTGTTTTGGGGCAAGTCTCTGGCCCGTGCCGTGCATGAGGTCAGCCTAGATGATCACAATAGTCCCTTCTGGCCTTGGAATCTATGAACCCCAGAGAGATGCTGCTCACCTGGAGTCCCTCCATCAGGGAACTTGGCTTCTCTGGGGCCCGGTAACTGGAAAAGTGGGAACAGGTAGCTGGTGTGCCAGTCACGGTCGAGGTTGGGGTTCAAGCCTGTCTGCTCGTTCCGGGGGGCATTCCGAGGGCTGTATTTGAAGCGCAGTTGATAATTAACCTACAAGGCAACAGAACGAGAAGGGCATTGGAGTCAGAAAAAAATTAGGGGATTGTGGAGGAGGCAACAGAGAATCAGAGCACGACAGAGCGCACCAGTGAGAAGAAAAGGGAGGTGCAGCTCGGAGCACCCCAAAAGACCATTGTGAGGCAGTCTTCCTCCAAAAGCATCACTACAGGCCTGCTGTCTCTGGCCTGGACAGTTGAAAGGATACCAGTCCCCCCATTCTGCATTTAGCACTGGGGGCGCAGTGCCGGGGAGGTGCTGTCTTTCATATAGCTATCTGGGTACTTTGATGGCCCTCATCACTATGGTAACCTCGGTACTCTCCTCTGCCACCGTGGCACTAGGAAGTGCTCATGGCTCCTGGAGCTAGCCCAACATGGAAGCGTGAGCCGCTCGGTGCACCGTAACATTGTAACCAGGACACCCTCTCTCTCATGTCACATTGCGGCGGCCGTGGGGGTCACCACATAGCTCCGAGGAGCGCCGGCCTTTGTGACGGGGGAGGATGCTCACTTCTGAAAGGGCCTGGCCTGCAGATTCACTTACCTGCAGCGGCAAGGGGTCCTTGCTCTGATTGAAGCAGTGTTTGAAAACGAGGGCGGCCAGCACATTACCCGAGCGGTTATCAAACTTCACGTAGTCCTCAAACTCCCTCTCCGAAGGGAACCCTTGAGCTGCAGAGGAGGGAAATCCACGCAATGAGCTGCCTATGATGGGGGTGGGCTCCGCGGCTGTGAGGGAGCGCACTGGGATGTTTCCGAGCCAAGGGCTTTTGAGTTTCAGTCCTAACAGGCTGCATGGGGAGCATGGTGGGTAGTGGGATGATTTCCGAGCTCTGCTTTGATCAGAGACATTGGCTCCGTCTCCCACTTGAAGGCAGCTCCCAGTATGATGCTCCATCCCCACCCATGCCAGAAGTGCCAGCTCCTGGTACCTAGGGGTTCTGTTCTTCTCCTGTCACAAGAAAGGAAGCTCACCCTGCCCCCCAATACTTAAAGAAAAAACAACGGGAGAGTTTGATTCATGCACAAGAAAGCCCAGCCACACTCAGACTCTTCTTAGGCAAGGCCTACCAATGGTTCTACCAACTCCGCCCCTCCTTTTGTGGCCAACAATGTCAGGACCCTCCCCAGAGCAGGCTCACCAAACCCATCACATGACAATGTGATTCTGGTCTGGGACAGCTCTTCTAGGGCTAGAAGGGCTCCCTCCAACAAGGCTCAGCCAGGGTAGGGAGTGAGGAACTTTGCATTGCTGCTGGCAAGCTGTAGCTAGTGTGTAGCTATCCAGAGAACTTCACTCGCCTGGGTAGAATCTGGCACCTTTTACTGGCATTAAACTAACTCAAGACCAGAACAAATCAAATGTTGGCTAAGGTGGAAGGTCTGGTACTGATCCCATCGAGTTTATGCTGTTAAAGGGATGCTGCAAACTTGGAAGCCTAAACAATATGAAAAGGGAGTTAAAAAGCAATTTCGGGATCCAGTCTTGAATCTCCCTGACAATTCCTATGGTTGCAAAAACCCCATTTCCCTATTTTTAAAGGTTTTTCTCTCCAGTGCTGGGTGAAAGACCCGTGCAAACTACAGGGAGATACAGATCATTAGAGCTGATGGAAAAGGGAATTTCCATTCCGTGGGAAATTCCAACATTCACTTGTTTGCCAAATTGGAATGAAAAGAAAATGTTCCACAAAATGAAACTTCCAAAATATTTCAGAAACACTCAAAATGACAACAAAATATTCTGATAAGGTCAGAAGATGTCACAACAGAACACAGGAGTGAAAATGAAGTAGTTCCATAATTTTCCATTGAAAATTTTGACAAAAGTGAAGTGTTCCCGCAAAACATTTCCATTTAGCTGAATCAGCATTTTCCAACAGAAAATGTTTTCAGCTGGTTCTCCCTATCATAGGGGGAAACCAGAGAAACTGACTAGACAAAGAGCTGTCAAATGCACAAAATAAACAAGCAGCATAAAGGAGATTGCTAGTTTTTCTAATCTCCTTCTGTTAGTCTCTCTCAGGTACTACTTTGACAGGAGGTGAAAACTTCCAGAGAAGAAGTCTGGTTTTTAAGTGACTACTTTAATTACAATAGCAGAAGGCTCAGCTCTTAAGATGAAGCCAGCCACATCACTGTCACCTGATGCCTGCACTGGATTTTGAATTCTGGACACTAGAAATGTTTAACTAAGAGCAATTTCCATTCCCTTCTGAAGCTGCATCCAGGACACTTAAAACAGCCTCATCACAGATCCCAATTCAGCAAAGCACTTACGCACATGCTTAGCTTTAAAAGCATTTTAAAAGCATTAGGGGGAAGGGATAGCTCAGTGGTTTGAGCATTGGCCTGCTAAACCCAGGGTTGTGAGTTCAATCCTTGAGGGGGCCATTTAGGGATCTGGGGCAAAAATTGGGGACTGGTCCTGCTTTGAGCAGGGGGTTGGACTAGATGACCTCCTGAGGTCCCTTCCAACCCTGATATGCTATGATCTATGATCATTTAAGATAATCCCATCTCTCTTCAGCAAAGCGAACATGCTTAAATGCTTTTCTGCATAAGGCCATACGAAACGCGTGCCCACACACATGTACACACCAGTTTCTACACTTAAAAGACCTCCCTCCCCTCCAGGAACCCTCAGCCCATTCTAACCTTTGATATTGATGTGCAACGCCTTTTCCACCGCCTCCGCGATGCTCTTCACAGCAGTGCTGTTGGAGGGGATGTAAGCTAGCTCCCAGGGGTTGAGCTTCCGGTGATGGAAAAACCATGGCAGCTCGTCCACTGACTGGCTGGGGTAGATAGTGGCATTGGGGTGGCTGATCGAATGCACTCTGTTGCGGAGTGCAATGAGGATTGCGGCAAACAGCAACGGCAAGCACATTTCTATGACCGTTACCAAAATCTGTCGCTTCTGCAGGAGAAATGAGGGAAAACCAGTTAGATTGGGAGGCAGGGGATCAATTTAGCACTGGGAGGGAAATTACTGCTCACATACGCCAGTACTACACATAGTGAGTCCACTGCATTTCACTGTAGTCATAGCCAAAGGCAAAAGTGATGACCATTATTTGCATTGCATTGGCAGAGGGACCCAATCAAGCCAAGACCCAATTGTGCTAGATGCTGAACAGGCAAAGGGAAGAGAGAATCCCGGCCTCCAAGATCTTGTCATCTGGGTTTTGTGGCATGAAGCACAGGGTGAACAAACCAAAAAGGCCTGGGGAGTTAATAGTGAAACAAGCCAGTTTGAATGAGGTTCAACAAGGATAAGTGCAGGGTCCTGCACTTAGGACGGAAGAACCCAATGCACAGCTACAGACTAGGGACCGAATGGCTAGGCAGTAGTTCTGCGGAAAAGGACCTAGAGGTGACAGTGGACGAGAAGCTGGATATGAGTCAACAGTCTGCCCTTGTTGCCAAGAAGGCCAATGGCATTTTGGGATGTATAAGTAGGGGCATAGCCAGCAGACCGAGGGACGTGATCGTTCCCCTCTATTCGACATTGGTGAGGCCTCATCTGGAGTACTGTATTCAGTTTTGGGCCCCGCACTACAAGAAGGATGTGGATAAATTGGAGAGAGTCCAGCGAAGGGCAACAAAAATGATTAGGGGTCTGGAACACATGACTTATGAGGAGAGGCAGAGGGAACTGGGATTGTTTAGTCTGCAGAAGAGAAGAATGAGGGGGGATTTGATAGCTGCTTTCAACTACCTGAGAGGTAGTTCCAAAGAGGATGGTTCTAGACTCTTCTCAGTGGTAGAAGAGGACAGGACAAGGAGTAATGGTCTCAAGTTGCAGTGGGGGAGGTTTAGGTTGGATATTAGGAAAAACTTTTTCACTAGGAGGGTGGTGAAACACTGGAATGCGTTACCTAGGGAGGTGGTAGAATCGCCTTCCTTAGAAGTTTTTAAGGTCAGGCTTGACAAAGCCCTGGCTGGGATGATTTAATTGGGGATTGGTCCTGCTTTGAGCAGGGGGTTGGACTAGATGACCTCCTGAGGTCCCTTCCAACCCTGATATTCTATGATTCTATGAATCCTAGCAAGGTTTTGATATAAAGTCCTGATGGATGCAGGAGTACTCAACTCATGACACGTCATTCCCCACCCTCTTCACCTCTTGTACACAGATAACCCTTCCTAGAGATAAGGGCAATTGCATGCAACAAACAAACAGGAAATACATGGCTCTCCTGGCCATCTCTGGGCACTCCACAGACATCAAATTATGACACTGCATTCTTGCAAGGATGGAAAGGGGTGCTTGGTGATTTAGTACCACTGGGGTGAAGGACAGCAGCATTACCCAATAGCTTAGGGCTGGGAGTGAAGAACAATAATGCATTCAAATGGAAAAAGGAGATGAATGGGGCAAGCGGAGCTGGCATTAAGTCAGAGCATAATAAGGTTAATTCTCCTCCTCCAGCAAAAAGAGGTCTTTATAAGCAGGTCAGCTCTGACACAGGGGGAAGGAGCACCTCCAACACCACTTCTTGCAGCTCCTCAGCAATTCCCTGGAGGCCACTATACATCAAAGCACGGAGTCTGATTAGATGATGAGATCTGACAGGTTCACAGAACAAAGTGGAATAGCTGCAGATTACAGCAGGGCATCAAGAATAGTGGGAATCCGACCAGCACAGAGCATGCCCAGCTGTGGGGCTATTCAGCAGCACTGGAATCTGATAGTACATCTGCAAAGTCACCTCGTTTGGTTTTAATGTAAATACTGGACAGTTTATAGTAGAACACTACAGCAGCTCCAAGCATGACAGCCAATCACACTACATCTATAATGGTTAAGGCCACTTAGCTGTCAATCACTCAAACCCTAGATGCAACAACACTTTTACATAGAACTAGAGGTGCGGCATGCACCCCGTACAGCAGGGAGAATGCGCCTGAGTCCAAAGCCTCTGCCTCAGAAGTTAGCCTACACTGGAGTTTTAATATCAAGTTAACTGAGTTGACATTTAACTCGAGTTAACACATGTGAATGCACTAGTCTGGGCACTCCACATCTCTGGCCACAAAGGTTTGTGGTAAACCGCGGGCTTCGTCCTGGAATAGGAAGCATGTAGAACATGGGTGGCCAACCTGAGCCTGAGAAGGAGCCAGAATTTACCAATGTACATTGCCAAAGAGCCAGAGTCATAGATCAGCAGCCCTCATCAGCCTATCCCTGACCCCACCCCCAGCATCTCCGCCCTCTGGCAACCTGGCGATCAGCACCTCCCACTCCTTCCTGCCTGCTGCAATCAGCTGTTTCACAGTGTACAGGAGGCTCTGGGATGGAGAGGGGAGGAGCAAGGGTGCAGCAGGCTCAGGGGAGGGGGTTTTGGGGTAAGGAGTGGAGTGGGGGCAGGGCCTGGGGTTGAGCAGTGGAAAGTTGGCACCTGTAGCTCCAGCCCCAGAGAGTCAGCACCTATACAAGGAGCCGCATATTAACTTCTGAAGGGCCGCATGCGGCTCCGCAGCCACAGGTTGGCCACCCCTAGTGTAGAATGTTCAGACATGATAACTAATAAGTTCATCGGCATTAAAACCTTAAGTGAAGTCATACCCAAAGAGTTTATAGTCTGGAGGCACAAGGCAGTAAAGCACAATACACAACAAGCCAAGTAGGGTGTTATTCCAGCCACAGAGTTTCCCTGAGTACATGGAATGCCCCATTGACAAGTGTCAATACTTGTACTTACCATGTCTATCGCTTTATGATTCCCAAGGCCATACAAACATTACCCGCTACAGCCATCCCAGGAGGCAGCAAAGTATCATCACCCTCATTTTATAGATAGGGAAACTGAGGCACAGCACGATTAAGTGACTTGCCCAAGGTCACTCAGTAAATCAGTGACAGAGCTGAATTAAATGTAGAGTTCTTGGCCCATAGGCCCAGTTCCACTCTCAATCCACCAGACCATATCACCTCATTAAGGCCTTCATCCCAGGCCAATTGAAGTCAGTGAGAATCATTCAATGGGCTTTGGATCAGATCCCCAATAGAGATGCTGCTTTAAGCATGAGGAGCAGCGGGAAAGGAGAAGTGAAGTTGGGACTGGGTAAAGGAACAGCAAGTCTAAGGAGGAGGAGAAGAGTTGATGTATAGATAGAAACAGGAGGGAATAGTTGCGCTGAGTCTTGAACATGAAGGAGAATGGAAGCCAGTAAGGGTATCTTAGGCTACATTTACACTTAAAACACGACCGCCACTGTAGCTTTTCAGCAACCGGAGGGGCTCACCAAAAGGTGGTAGCTAGTGCTGTCGACACAGGGACTTAGTTGGGCTTAAATCCAGCGCTCATGGATGTGGATTTTTCACACCCCGAGTGATGCAGCTGGGTCGGTCTAATTTTCTAATGTAGACGAGACCTGAGAAGGGGTGAAGGAAAAGACTGTAGGAATGAGATGATCTGGGGAGGGGGATAAGAATCTTGGCAGCAGCATTTAGGATATACTGAAGGGGAGGGGGAGGAAGGGCACAAAGGAGGTGACGGTGCACAGCATCATTATATTGGGTCGTGTCTTACAATGCTTAGAAGACGACAGGGAATCAGGACTTCACAGGTTCTATTCCCTGCTGTGCCACTACATTGCTATGGAACTTCATGCAAGTCACTTTGCCTCCATCTGCACATTGATAAAATTAGCAGAACATCTCAGAGGAGTATGGCCTCAGGGATAGAGCACTGGGACTCAGGAGACCTGGGTTCTAGTCCCATATCTGTCACCTGGCTGACCCTGAGCAAATTACTTCACTTCCCTGTGCCTCAGTTTCCCCCTTTATAAAGCACTTGGAGATCTACTGATGAAAAGTGCTATAGAAGAGTTTGATATTATTTATGTACTTCACTGGGGTAAGGGGAGGCTTAATAAAGGCTTGTGAAGTGCTTTGAGATCCAAAGATGGAAGGAAGATGTTATTACTCAATTTGTTGTACAACTGCTTGTTCAGGTGCCCCAGCCCCACCCCTGAACATCACCTGGAGCAGCCACCAAGCTGTTAAATCATCTCCAAACTGGTGCGCAATTTGTGTAAATGCTTCCAACAATCAGTTAATCTGGCCCACAAGTATATTGATTCACATTAGGAAGGATCACAATTTAAACCCAAGGACAGAATAGGGTTGGTTTTCCTGTCAGAAGATTCATACTGATGCATTTCGCTATCCCTGTTGAAAGGATCGATGCACTGGAGTTGAACCTTGATACTTTCTTCATGGGTGTGTTTGTATTCCCCTCCCTCCACCTTTCATAGATTGTTTTCCTTCCTACAATGGCCGATTCCTCCTGGACCTATAACAAACAGGAGTGAATGCAGCAAGGCAGCCCACACAGGAGATTATCCCCCTTGCCTCCCATCCCCGTAGTACCTTCAGCACCTCAAAAACATTAAAGGATTTTATTCTCACAGTGGGGAAGGATCACCCCATTCTTCAGATGGGGAGACAAGGCATTAAGTGACTTGAGCAAGGTCACACAGGGAAGTCTGTGGCAGAGCCAGGAATTGAGCCCAGGTGTCCCACTCCAGAGCCAAAAAGACCATACTTCCTTCCCACACGGTGATGCACACCCCTGGGGAGGGGAAGATGGTTACTGGGAGGGAGGGGGGTGCGAGGACCTGACTGGCTATGAATTATTTGTTGTTTCTTCAAAATACTGTTGATAAAGTAAGAATTCCTCTCCCTAGCAGAGTCCCCTGCTCCAGCTCCAGCCACTGCTACCTGCCTGGAGGAGCATGGCCTGCCCTGTGCAGAAGGGGTGGGGAGTCCATTCCAGCTCACCTGTCTTACCAGAGGCTGATGAGCCCCCATGGGAGGTAGAACCTCCCTGCCCACACAGGTTCTAGGACATGCATGCTGGGACAGCACTAAGGCCAGAAGAGGGCTGAGGCCTGTGAGCAATTTGGGGG